GGGCTGTGTTCTCCTGAGGATTGCACTGCTGGGGAAGGAGAGGTGCTAACAGGGTTTTCTACACCTCTCAGCAAACCCCAGCTAGCTGGCAGGAAGGCACTCTGTGTGACATCGTCCTCTGCACACGCGAGGAAGTGGCCTCTGCAGCCTCAGAAATATGCTCCAGACTTTTCCAGTGAAGCAGGAAACACAGATAAATTCTGTTCTTCTTCAAAATGTCACAAAATCACAGAAACAGCAAGGGTGGAGGAGACATTCACGGCCATCCAGTGAGCAAAAAGGAGAGAAAGGTGAGCATATGCCAACCATTTCTCCTGCAGGCTGCTTAACAGGAGAGTTTGGTGAGAAAGCAGTAAAAATACCATGAGAAGGAGAAGGTTTTATAGCTGTCACATATCAATATGATGGGGGGGAAAAGTGATCATTTTTCAAGGAGAATGGACAACCCAGAAGCAAATAATCTTACCAAAGGAAGAAGGTGCAGTTCTGCTTTCATCTTTTCATCAGTGCATTGATACTTTGATTTTATTCCCACAAATTCTCTGCAATATTTTCTCACTTTTCTCATAAAGGTGAAAGGAAGTTAACTGGGTAATTTTCTCAGGTTTAGCTGGGTGTGTGTTCCATTTCCATCTGTCAGAGCTGGGGCAGTTCTCTCTGTTCCTGGGGCAGTTTTTCCTTTCTCTCTCCCACAGCCAACCCTCCCTCCAGGAGATCTCTGCTGTCCATGGCCACTGAGCGTCCCTGCAGGGCTGATCCAATCCCAGCATCCCATGGGGAGATGCTCCGCCCAGGGGAGGAGCCAAGCATTCCTCCCTGGATCCAATCTGGGCCTGGCACAGCACAGCAGCCTTTGCCCCCTGCACTGCCAGAGGAGCAGCTTTCTGCTGCCCTGCACTGCCAGAGGGAGCCCAGGCCCATCTGCAGCAGCCCTGGAGCTGCAGAGGAAAACTCCCCCCTTGTGCAGGATCCCTGCTGCAGCAGAGCCACAGCTGGCACTGCAGGAGGGCTGAGCCCCCATGGGATGGGGCTGGGACACCGCCCTGACACACAGGGGGCAGGGCATGCTCTGACTCTGGCAGTGCTGTTTTGTATTACTGCATTTTTATTTTATTTTTATTTTCTTCTGTAATGAAGAACTGTCATTTCTACTCCCATATCTTTGCCTGAGAGCCCCTTAATTTCAAAATTATAATAATTTGGAAGGAGGGTGTTTACATTTTTCATTTCAAGGGAGTCTCCTGCCTTCCTTAGCAGACACCTGGCTTTTCAAACCAAGACACCAGCCTATGGTCAAAAATTTGGCTTGGATAAGCTGGTATCAAAACTCAGCTTCTCTTAAATCCAGTGACAGAGTTATTCCTCACAAATCAAACATCCTGACAGAGAAAGGTACACTGCCTCAAAGAAACTGTGGCCTCTAAAGCAGTCCCAGGTGTTCTCAGAGATTCATCCTTCATTCCTCCACAGTTCCTTCCTACTTTTACCCTTGGAGGTATTTAAAAGTGAAGATGTGACCCTTAAGGAAGATTTTTAGTGGTGGGGTTGGCAGTGTTAAGTTTATGGTTGGATTCAGGGATCTCAAGGGTCTTTTCCCACCTAAATGATCCCAAATTCTCAGTGACAGAAAGGCATCACCACGGTGCTCCACACCTAATTTGGACTCCTATGCCCTTGATTTGTGTCACCCAACTCTGCACTCCAGTAACCAGTGAGTTCCTTTCCCCTGAGCCAAATGGAGACAGAAACTCATTCAGATGAGTCTCAGCTGAGATTTGTTGCTCCCTCCCCATGCTTCTTGCTTGGCAGTGATGGGAACAACAAGCATCCTTCAGGATATCTGACATCAAACCTAAAACTCACAATCTGCTTCCTGAAGGAATGACTGTCTTGAGTTCTCAGCTTCCCAGATGATATGTCAAGCATATTTCCAGCCTCCCAAAGCTGCCAAAGGATGCAGACAGACAGACTTATCTCCTGACATTAAAGAGAGGACTCTAAGCAATTTTTATTACTGGGAAGGTGGATGAATGGATGTGGTGACTGGAAGAGAGGTCAGAAACCCTGACTGGGGGCTGGCACTGCCCTGGCAAAGCTCCTAAACAGTTTAATTTCTCTCCAGTGAATTTCATGAAGAGAAAATTTTCATTTTCATTTCAAAACTCCTGAACAGTTTAATTTCTCTCCAATGAATTTCAGAAAGAGAAAATTTTCTCCTTTCTTAGAAGAAAATCTCTCACACACTTTGTGGGCTCAGAAGTGCTCTCACCCATGGCCCAAGTTCCCTTCTGGACCTGCCATTCCAAACCCTTTATTAGCCACACAGTGCAGCACCTCACATTTATTTTCCCACAAAACAAACAATTGGCTAACTCTATCCACTCTGTTGCTTGCCATGGTACTCAAAATCATGTCTTTGACACTTCAGCAGCCTGTGAAACTTGACAATCAATCATCCCCAAGTGCCAACAGCCACATCCTATGACATATATGGATCTGTAGGAAGCATAGCTTGAAGCCTTTCTAATTTTAGCTTGTTTCAGGATACGAGAAGTTTCAAGCATCAATCATGCAAAGGAAAATGCTTTACATACCAAAGTGTCACCAAAAAAAACCCAAAAAAACAAAGTACAGCCTGCTGGTTTGTGTGTGACTGGGGTGCACTGGGAGGATTTTGCATCCATGGATTCCTGAAGCTTATGAAATGCTGTGTACTCTGTGCTAACCAGCTGCAGTTCCCTTCTCCCAGTAAAATATACATGCAGGCAGTATTCCTCCAAGTGCATTTAAGCCAATAGCTCACAAATTCGTCCTACTGATTTTCATTCAGCTGCAGTTTAGAAAAGATTGAATTCTTTGCACTGAATTACTGCGGAAAGTATTAAGCTTATGTAAGCAGAATTAACATTATGGCTAAAACCACTGAGCAGCAGCCGGCCCCAGTTTATCCTCGGCATACTCACAGCCCCCTTTTCTCCTGGCAGGAAGGATGGCCAGCCTGTGCTGATCCCAAGGAACATCCCAAATTTCAGTGCTGGCTGCAGGATCTTTGCTGTCCCGTTTGCTGTCTCACCCCAGCCACCAGCTGAAGACCAGGGCAGCGTGTCCCTCCCACGTGGGAGGCTCAGCATTCCTCACATTCCCTCCCAGCCTTCCCAGATTAGACCCTGTCCAGAAGATCACTGCTGTATTTCTGCCCCAACAAGAACAGGCAAAGTGTGGTGGGTTTTGTCTCAAACCCAAAGGCTGCAGCCCTGCCTGGTGTCCTGAGCGCTCTCAGGGGTTTTGTTCTGAGGGGAAAAGTGGAACTTGTGGTTCAGCGGGCACAGGGAGCTCAGGCAGCCTGGGAAGGCACATCACACATTGGATTTATCACATTTCCATCAAGGCACAGCACACATTGGATTTACCACATCTCCAGAGTGGTTAACAGTTCTGTGTTTATGTTGTCCACCATGCTCCCCAAAGTCCTTCTGCTCAAAACCTCTGCTGCAATGAATGGCTGCTGTCCTGGTTTGGCTGCTGGTGAGATGGGGAAAATTTCCCCCAGGAAGAGAAATTACCTGCAGGAATGTAAGAAATGCTAAAATCAGTGGCTCACCCAAGCTGGTACTCAGTCTTTGAAAATGGAAACAGGAAAAACTATTTAAGAATAGCAATATTTAAATCCTTTTGCTGCCAGTCACCAGCATCTGTGATTCCTTGGATTTGTGGTGTTGTGGACTGGACACATCCCAGGCTGTAGTATCCATTTATAACCCTGATTCTCCTGACATTGCCCAATCCCTTCAGGTTGACATTGTCAGCTTCCGTAACATCCTGTGATGACAAATTCCAACATTTCCTGACTCACTCCATAAAAACATTCTCTCTCTTTTCTCTTTCAAGCCCATCTATTAATTTAATTGTGTCTGCTAATTTTCATTATGGTGTTGCAGGATTTTCTGACTCACTCTTCTGCATTCATCTTTATGATTTTTTTGGTAGCTTCCTTGGTTTCCTCTCCAACTTGAAAAGTCTTTTCAGCCTCCTCATGGAGCAGCTGTTTCTTCCCCTCCAGCTGCTGTTCTCTCTGTATTTCTCACATCCCCAGGTCTTCCCTGAGACCAGACTGCACAGCCTGTTCAACACAGCCAGGCCTGTATGGCTGCAAAGCCGTGCCATCCTGCTGACAGAGCATTTCCTTGGGTCTTGGCCACTGCTGCACCTTGGGCTGATGATTTTGGAAGGAGCTGAAGCTGCTGCAGAGAGCCCAGAGGAGGCTCCAGGATGGGCAGAGGGATGGAGCAGCTCTGCTGGCAGGAAAGGCTGGCACAGCTGGCATTGCTCACCTGCACAGGAGAAGCTTTGGGCTGAGCTCAGGGCGGCCTTGCAGGGCCTGGAGGAGCCCCAGGAAAGCTGGAGAGGGACAATGGCCAGGGGATGCAGGGACAGCACACAGGGAATGGCTTCACACTGACAGAGAACAGGGTTAGATTAGGTATCAGGAGGAAATTTTTCCCTGTGAGAGTGCTGAGGCCCTGGCAGAGGTTGTCCAGAGAAGTTCTGGCTGCCCTTGGATCCCTGGAAATGTCCAAGGCCAGGTTGGATGTTGGGGCTTGGAGCAGCCTGGGACAGTGGCAGGTGTCCCTGCCCAGACTGGAATGAGATGATCTTTATGGTCCCGTTTCAATTCAGGCCATTTTATGATTCTATCATTTATGTAACTGCTAAAGTCAAATGTCCCTGGATCCCTGGAAATGTCCAAGGACAGGTTGGATGAACGTCTGAACAACCTCAGAGAGTGGAAACTGGATGATCTTTAAGGTCCCTTCCAACCCAAACCATTCCATGATTCTATGATTCCATGGCTTTGTACAGCTCACAACCTTAAGGATGGAGAAAACATCTGCAGCAGAGTGAAATCAATGCTTTTGCAGACAAAGAGCAGAAATGACAGAAAACACATTTATTTCAACAGCTGCACAATGGGGATCTCAATCATTTTCAAAAGCCAGCTGAAGGAGAAGTGACTCACATGGCTTGTGTACAGGAAGCCTCTTTGCAGTTTTCAGTGCTGAATTTCTTTTCCTCTGAAGACATCAGGGGTGTGAGTGCTGCTGAGTGGCAGCAAGGTGCTTGGCAGTGTTTGGACATGGAGACAGACGTGGTTCCTGCCATGGAGAGCTCACAATCTAAATGTGACACGGACAAAACTATCCCAACACACAACAATTGACTGAAACGCCATCTGTCAGACAGCAGATCCTTTTTAACAAGCAACTGGAATACCAAATATATATATAAAGGTTACAGGTGGGACAGAGTGGTGGCTGTGTTCTGTTTGTGTTTTTGTGTTCACACAGGCACTAAAGGTGGTGGTGCTTTGCTTGAGAAAGGGATTTTCTTTTCTTTGGTGGGGTGGCTCCAGCTGGTGCTTCCTGAACAAAAACAAAGAAAAATTCAATCAGAACTCAGCACTTCTGTGAAGTCACAGATCTGAACTCTTGACAAGGCTGTGATGAATTAATCCCCCTGCAGCAGATGAAGCCGGATTTGGGAGAGGCAGCATGAAAGAAGTGATGGATTTCCTGCCCTGCTGAGGTGCTGGGAAATCCCACCTGCACCTGGCTGGTGAAACCTTTGGCAGCTACCTCAGAGTGTGAGTCAGCTGGGAATCCAGCCCAGGACAGGCTGGATGGGGCTTGGAGCAGCCTGGGACAGTGGAAGGTGTCCCTGCCCATGGCAGGGGGCGGAACTGGATCATCTTTAGGGTCCTTCCCAACCCAAACCATTCCATGAGTCTATGGATCCTAAAAAGAGCATTTTGTGTCTGTGATCAGGTGAAGTCCCATCACCCAATGGAAAATCTGCTGGAAATTCCAGCTCTCTTTTAAGTTTGAGTTTCTCCCCAGTAAGTGATTTTCTGATCTGTATTTCAGTGCAGGGGAGAAGGGACATAGGAAGGAGAAAACCTGAAAATTAAAATTAGAAAGCATATGCTGACAGAACTTGAGCAGTGCTGGTGTTCTCACACATCTGTACAGGACAAACCCTGCCAGGTGCTTCCTCTTTTGTGGTTGTAAGTTTGGACTATTTTCAGTCATTTTATACTGAGTCATATTTCTCCTCAGGTTCCTCTTTCATACCAGTATTTTAAGTTTTCAACTAAATTTGAGAGAGGAATTCATGTGAGGCAGAGAGCTCCTAAAAGCTGCAGTGGAATCAGTAGCTGAGTAAGAGAGGAGAGGGATGAAATCTTATTCCATGTGAAAGACAAGCTACAACAGCTAAATCTACTTTTGACTCATCAGCTGGGTACTTTGTGCATGGAAACTTCGCCCATCCACAACAATAATTTAAAAAATTGCTGATTTATGTTACTTTAAGGGTATTTAGAAACTGTGCTTGATGTCTCAATATTTACCTGAAAACCTGTTCAAGAAATATTGTGCCATAGGGAGCTGTACTAAGACTCTTCCTGCTCCTCCACCTCTTCCTTTTCTTCTCCCTCTCCTTGCTTTTCTTCTTCTTCCTTTGTTATTTAATAGAAAATATTTGTAATTACCATATAGGAATTGAAAGAAAAAAAAATAAACAGTCTTGAAATGCAAAGCTCTGCTTTTACAACTGTTCTGTTTCTAGTAAATGCATTTGAGATTCAAAATCAGAATTAATGTATAGAGCTGGAATATAAAAACCCTCTTCTTAGGTTAGAACACATGGTTAAGCTGCAAATAGGTGCTTAAAATCAAAATAAGAATATTAAATATGTGTAAATGTGACAAAAAGTTTGGTATTTTTAATCATACACTTTCCTGAAGCAGTAAACAACTAGAGATTCATGGCACAGGCACTAGATTCCTGGATGATCTAAAAATCACCTGGAATCAGATAATATAACCTGGTTTCTATCTCTGAAGTTCTTATTTCTCTCTTTTATGCAGGAGAAATGACACAATTGAAAGACAACAGCCCTTTGCTTCAATCAACACTTATCTGAAAGCTGGAATTTGTGTGACACAGACAACAATCTCTGCTTATTCTCTTTCTACAGTAAATGAAGCTCTGCTCTGAAAAACAGCTGGAAATTGCTTTGAGGGCTCCTCTGCTCCTCCAAAGACACTCCCATGTGTATAAATCAGCTTTATCTCAATCTGCCACCCCTTCACAAACTGCTTGGACTGCAAAAGTGACGTGAATTTCTTCCTGGCACGATCAAATAACCAATCAAAGAATCAATAATGAGCTTTCAGCCAGGACTGCAGGTCATCCATGAGCAGCACAGACTTTTGTTTCTCCTCCCAGGCACCTCCTGTCTGTGCAGGAGTCACACCTGAGTTGCTGAAGGGAAATCCTGCTTAAATACCTGCTTGGGAATGGAGCTGGAAGCAGATTCCTGGTTTCGGCTGTTTTTCAGGGAAAAACATTGCACTAAAGAATCATTCTGCAAAACCAGAAATGCAATACAAACATCTGTGGATTAGAAGTTCTTATGCCAAAGGAGTATTGCCTCTCTGGGCATTTTCCCTCAGGAAAGGTGCCTTTTTTATCTCATCAGAACTCTGAGACAGGGCCAGGAGAGCACACAGACAAGCCACATCTTTCAGATATTACCAACTTCCATCCAAAATTCAAATCAATTAACTTTACGGGGGAAAAATTATCCTTTCTCTTGCTTGAAGCTTTAGTTGGTGCGCCAGGGTAACACTAACCAGGCCTGGTGACCCTCAGCAGCCTCTCCAGGAACCTCTGCACTCTGCTCATGGCTCCAGGAGCTTTTGGGCCAGGAAAACAAATCCTGGGAGGAGCAGCTGAGGGAGCTGGGGAGGTTCAGCCTGGAGCAAGGGAGGCTCAGGGGGGACCTCATTGCTCTGCACAGCTCCTGACAGGAGGAGCAGGGGAAAAAATGAGAAGAAATGGCCTCAAATGGCACCAGGGCAGGCTCAGGTTGGAGATTGGCACAGAAAATTTCCCTGGCAGAGTGGTCAGGCCTTGGGCTGAGCTGCCCAGGGAGGTCTGGAGTCACTGGAATTGTCCAAGAGGAGTCTGGATGTGGCCTTGGGGACAGGGATGGGGGTGATGCTGGTGGGGCTGGGGTGGCACTGGATGATCCTGAAGGTTTGGGCAGAGCAGAGAAGTGTTTGAGGATTTGCACCTGGCTGTTAGAAATTCTCACGAGGGAAATATCTCCTTTATGGGCAGAGCTGCCTAAATTGTCAGAATGAGTTTTCACACAGAAAATGCAATCACAGCATGGTGTCAGTCAGTGATTGTCAAAGATGGACTTGTCATGGGAGTCCTTGGCAAATTTTACTGAAGGCTCTGTGACAGACAATTTCCCTTCCATTTACAGCTTTTAATGATTAAAGGCCCATCTCTGTTCCCAGTCAATAACACCACAATAGGACCAATTATTATCTCTAGCAGAATATGACTGTGGTGGGTTTACTGTCATGAATAAGAATTTACCAGTTTTTGAGTGAAGCAAAAGGACTGAAAAGGAATTAAATACACACAAACAAAAGATTATAATAAAATATCCAGGTGTACTATACCCCTGTTGCTGCATGCTCTTCCTCGCCTTCCTACAGAAGAGATACAAAAGAAAATATTAAAAAGATAAATTAAAGAAAGAATGTCGGAAATGAGACAAATGGGTAAACACATCAGAAGTTAAACACTGAATTTAGGAAAATTATGTGGAATTCACTGGATTCATTTGGAGATACTGTCCTCCAAATTAACTCACATTAATAAGGCACATTCAAGCTTAACTTTTATATTGGAAAAGGACTATAAAATCATTAAATTGAACTCCCTTTTCCTCAGTTACTTCCAATCAAAACTGCTTCATTGGCAAGCAAAGATTTGGAGCTGGGTTTTGTTTCCTTGTTCAGGTGGAGTTTTTGTGGGTTTTTTTGGTAATTAGCTGGTTGACAAAATGCAAGTAAATCAGAATTATAGAGTCTTATCTATGCTATATATCATCATTCAGAATCTGGCTTGTGATTCTGTTAAGTGTTGTAGGCTGCAACAGATGCCTTGGCTCAACAGGAAATAAAAAATAATACAAGCTGGTTTTAGACTGTAGATTGAGCAGAAGTGATGAGAGAGATAAAAAAAAAATTTGAATAGAATTTAATGTTAGATCCTAAGCTGGCTATGGGGGAAAGAGCTGATCCTACACAAAACCCCAAAGACAAGGGGCAAATGTCACAGTGCCACACAGAAGGCAGAGGGGTTAATTTGAGTTCTCATGGAATGACTTAAGGGAGTGAGCTGCAGTGCCAAGGTTTAAATATGGCCTGGGGAATTGCTGAGACAGGATACAGACTTGCATTATAATATGATTTTTGAACATGTTTCTAAAATAATTTTGCCCTGAAGGGAGCCTGTACTGAAAACTGATTTAACTGGGACAGCACTTAAAAAATACCCGAACCTCCAAGCTTAAATCTGAAGTCAAAATCAGAGAGTGAAACCACAGAAAATTTATCACCAGCACATGGAGTGACCAGCAGGCTCCATGTGAGCTGGAGCTCAGTCTTCTCTTCAGGAAAATCAAAACCAAAGGAGACAAAGCAGGAGTGGGAGGCACTGCATCCATGCAGGCAAAACCCTGGAGTTTCTGCATTTCTGCATCTCCCAGGAGCAGCAGCAGGATTTGGAGAGAGCTCCACACTGAACATCCCCTGCTACTGAGCTCTGGAGGAGCCTCCTGAAACCTGGAGCCTTCCTGCAGCCCCAGGGCTGAGCCAGCCCCAGTTTGTTCTGGTTTCTCAGTGGTGAAGGCTGAGGTGACTTCCAGAATTTTCCACAGCGCTGACATTTCTCCTGCAAAGCCACTGGAGAAAAGCTGGCTTGGTTACACCCCACAAATGGGAGTCATTTTGGAGGGGGGTTTGGAGCAATGATAAATGAGGCCAAAATTCCAGCACTAAATTCCCACTGGAATATTAATTCAGCCATGGAACATAAAACTGCCATCTTTCAAATGTTTGTGTTGAAAATACCTCTATCCTTCAGGACTTAACATCCAGTGGAGATACTCTGATGGAACCTGGCAGTCTTTGAGCATCTTCACTTTCATCAAACCCTGCTCAGGTTTGGAAATGGTATTTTTACTTTCTTTTACAAGCAAAAAATGAGATACAGAGACAAAAGGTGGAATTCATCTCGCTGTAGCTGCCTCAGAGATGCTCTTCTCATCTAACCCTGTCCTCTGTGTGCTGTCTGTAGTGAGTGAGAACAGCAGAATTCCTACAGAATGATTCATGCCATCCCAACAGAAGTGATAATTGGGATGAACTATAGCAAGGCAGGCAGATGCCACAGCACTGAAGTGATTTGTCCTGGGTGACACGAGAGGTGGGTGGTGGAACAGGGCAAAAAGTGTTTTCTGTGCTCTCTCCTCTGCCTCTCCCCTCCCCGAAAAGCTACAAAGAAATCTGTATTTTCCACTTTTAACTCCAATCCCTTCTGTGAGAAGTGGAGCAAGGTGCTGGTTGCATAGGAGTGGTGCTGCATTATGTCCGTGCAAAGCCTCTCCTCCACAGCTGCCTGACACATTTGCAGATAAATTCCAACATTCTGCTCTCATTTGAAAAGCATTAAAGCAGAATGCCAGCCAGAAGGGCAAGGCACCCAAGTCAGGCAGCAGTTTTAGCTCCTCTTATGAGCCAAAAAAAGGAGTTTGATGGCACTCACCTGCCAGCTGAAATTCACAGCAACATGAAAAGTACTTGGATATAATTTTCCTTAAGGAGGAATTTAGTTCCCACTGAGGACTGTCTGTCCTCATCACTGTTTTGAAATTATGAGTGGGACTTCCCAGTGGGTGAGATGTGCCTGAGGCTGTGTAAAAGGGGCTTTTCCAGCCCAGCAGTGACCAGATCAGTCAGTATTAAAAAGGGCAGTGGGGAAAGGCCTACACAGAGATGTTTCCTCTGGAGAAATATTGCAGCTGGATGAAAAAAAAAAAAAAAAAAACAAACCAAACTCCATTTATTCTGATCTTTGATGTAAGAGATGATGCATTTGTGCTGGATGTTCCCCAGGGACCATCTGATCTCCAAACACAGAAGAACCTGAGAAGCAGGCCTGGCTCCCTGGGAAGAGTCAGCACCCAAATAAAGTCACCCTTAAAGGACACCCTGAGCTGCACTTTGAGATCTGGAGTACCAGGGCAGGAGCAGACAGCAAGGAAAACACTGGCCTCCCTTTCTCCCTTTCTCCTTTCCTCCAGGGGATTCTGCAAGGCCTGGAGAAGTCACTGTCAGATCTGCAGCAAACATTTACAGCCAGATTTATGAGCACTGCACTTGCTGGCCATTGAGAGCAGCAATTTGTTTTTTTATCCAGGCAGGACTCAGATGTCTAGTCCTAAATTACCCTCCATAACTAGACTCTGGTTCCCAATAACCATTAAAATAAAATAAAAAGCTTGTGGTAACAAGTGGCAAAAGGCAGCTGCTGATATTCAAGAATCAGAGCAAAGTTTTATCCAGGTATGATATCATCCTGATATCAAAGAAAACACATCCAAAAGACATTCTACAATCAGTCACCCTGGGGCATACCAGGAGGCCTTGTGGGTTTATGTTCCATGTGCTTAGCACAGCTAAAACCCTCAGATCACAAAGAGAAAGGAGAAATTACCTGTTGACCTTCTGGTGGTGTCTGGTCAGGCTGAGCCTCTTCAGGAGCTCCTTCATCTGCCTTGTCTTCTGTGTGTGCCTCAGTTTCATTTGTGGCATCAGAATGTTCATCCTTGGAATCAGATTTATCTTCTGTGGCTTCTGACTTCTCCTCTGTGGCATCAGACTTCTCCTCTGTGGCTTCTGACTTCTCCTCTGTGGCATCAGACTTTTCAGTTTCCTGGCAGCAAAGGGGAACTCATGGTCAGCTTCAGGGCACATAATCAACAACTCATTTCAATAAAATTCTTGAGTTTCTTGTTTTTGGGAAAGTGTTTTTCTATTTTTGCTTCAGCTCTCAAATGAAAATACCTCCTTTTAGGGTGTATTTATCCTGTGAAAAGAACACTTGCTGGCATGCTGACCAGGTGGGATCTGTGTGGGGAAAACATGAATTCAAGCACTTCTCAGCATAGCAGGTTCTCTAACCTTCCTCTGGAAATTTCAATAGAAAACAAAGTTCACTCTGATGACAAATTTGAGTTTCAGGGGAAAAAAACCCTTTTTCCACCAGCATGAATTCCAATTAAACATCATCCAAAAGCTCCAGGAAAACAGAAGTAATAAAGGATTTCACATTTAGTCTCTTAACTTTCTTGCTTAAAAACACCAGGAAACTCTTCCCACATCGGTCATTCCAGCACCATAACCAAGCACCTCCTGGGAAGTTCTTTGTTTGACAAAAATCCTGGTGTCCTTTCAGCCAGGTGCCTCTGAAAGGTCACAGTGGCTCCCACACTGTGTCAGACAAAAGGAGGCCTCGAGTGGCACAGCAGAACTATGATGAAATGCAAGAGCATGAAGTGCAAAGTCACCTTATTTGGGGACAAGCAGTTCTGGATCAGACATTAGAAAGTGATTTTTCTATTGCACTTTAGGAGCTTGTCAGTTAATGATCATCAAGGAAGAAAAAGATGGATGTATTTAAGTAAGCATGGGATAACTGAGCCATGAGGGTGATGTGACAATAAAAGAGGTAAAAAATGTGATCCTCACATGCATGAGGTGAGGCAAAGCCTCCTCAGATTGCTCTGTGCCATCCTAGACACTCAGGCTCAAGAAGGAGAAACTCAGCCTGGAGCAGGTGCAGAGAGGGCTCCAGGGACATCTGAGGGAGTGGAGAGCCTGTCTTATGAAAGGGGGACAAAAAAAGTTCATTGCTTTCATCTGTTGGAAGTGATGCTGTGAGGGGATATGGTGGCACTCCCAAAATAGATCAGAGTAAACATCAGACAGGGATAGGACAAGGAGGAGTGCTGAGGGAGATGCAAAGTGAGTACAAACTGGCTGTGAGGAAAAATTCTAATCATCATCAGTGGGAGATTTCAGGAGTGATCTGCAGTAGAGAGGTAAAGGACCTTACTCATTCAAAGGAAATTTGACCCCTTCTGATGGGTGTTATCTGGGGTGGGCTCCTCTGGCACTCAGGGGAGCTCCTGTCCTGAGCCATCCTGAGTCCCACAGGCTTTGGGAAGAGCAGCACATCCCTGAGAGGGCTTCCCCATCCCTGTGACCCAGCCCTTGCAGCCCACCCCCCTGCTTGCTTTGGGGTTTGCTGCTTTTCCATCATTTCATTTGTCTCCACAGTTCAACAGAAGCCCTCATTCATGTTCCCCTGTCCTTTAAACTTCACAATCCTCCTCCAGGGTCCCCATGATGATTTCCTCAGCCAGTGCTCTCTTTCTGCAGAACAGGGCATGGCTGGCTGGCTTTTATCCCCAGAGCTGCTGGCTGAGGGATCTTTGTCCAGGATGTGCTGTGGGACATAAGAGACGGGCTCCTGCTGACATCTCTGCTGGATGGGGACAGAAATGACAGAAAGGAGCTCAGCAATTTTAGGAAGCAGATATCAGAGCAGTTTGATGTTCTTGCTGAAACCTGACTGCCTGTAAGGCTTGGTGCTCTTCTGGCAATTGTCTCCTGAGTTGTGGAAAGTCGGTTTTACATCCAAAGTCAGTTTTACACCCAAGTTCCTTGCAGTGAAAGGAGAGTGGGCACAAAGTTCCCAAAGCTCTCCTTCCTCTGGAAGTGGAGCAGGAGCTGATCAAGATGGAAAAGCTTTAAAAAGCAAAACTTTCCTAGCTCACAGCACTTTCACACTCTGTCCCACAGCTGCACAAGGGTTGCTGCCAGCACGTGGGGGATGCTGGGGAGAGGAATGAGCAGCTGGAGGGGAGCAGAAGGAGCCAGAGGAAGGAGGAGGGAGAAAAGAGAATTTCTTTTTCTGGCAATATCGTCTCATTTCAAGTGCACATAAAACTGTGGGCTCACTGCACTCTGGTGCTAGTGGCATTGTTATTAAAAACAGATCTACAGAGACATTTGTTTGGCTTGGTTTGTTGTTTATTTTTTCTCCCAGAAGCCAAAAAATGTTTGAAGATTGAAATATGTAGTAACACAAACATACACTGAAATTCTCTTGTGCAACATTGTGTTAATACATTATTTTCTTAAGGAAATGGAAACTTCCTAGAGGTACTTTCTTTGCAGAAGTTCCTCAAATGAAAAGGACAGTGTTAATGAAAATTAAATTAATAGAATCACTGACCATGATGTGGGTTGAAAGGGACCTTTAAGGTCATCTCTTTCCAACCTCCTTGCCATGGGCAGGGACACCAGACCTGGTTGTTCAGAGCCCCATCCAACTTGCTCTTGAAATAGGTTAAATATTTATTTTCAGCACAGATATTAACATTTCATTAACATCCATACACTCAGGATTTTTGGCTGGGACATAAAATACATAAGAACCACAGAGAGCACCCTAATTAAAATGACCCTTTTGTGTGAATCCATCTCAGATGAATCACATACTTAGATCATAAGGCACAAAAAAGAGTTGTAGCTGAGAGAACTAAACTAGAAGCAGCATGTTATCAGCCAGAAAACACATACACATACACACACACAGAGTTCTTGTTAATTATATGGAGAACTCTGACATTCAGAACAGCATTGCCACACTGGCTCTCCATAGAAACACAGAATTTCATTTTCAGCGAATTCAAAATGAAGTACCATTTCTAAAGATTGGCTGACAGGTCATTTTCTCTTTAAATAAAATGCACACAGCACAAATTTGTAATTCAAAGCAGATTTAGGAGAAGCCTTTTTCCACTAACTTAAGCTTGAGTATCTACAGATTTGCGGATATCAAGATTCTGTATATTAAGATCAAGAATAGTGGGATTAAGGCTTCAAGTAAGCACAATATTTGAAAAACCCTCAAATCACATGAATCACTGAGTTCACTGAGTCAGACTAAGCATAAAAGTGGTGCCAGCTTTAAAAAAATGTACCCAACTTTTGAGACTGACACACCTGACCCCAAACATAAAAACTACACTAATTATAGCTAGATCTACACGTGTATCCTATTGGGACATCACTACTCAGGCCGATAATCCAAGATTAAACAAGACCTCTGAGAAATCTGTCACAAATTTGAGTGATCTTTGGGTCTTAAATCTCAGCCTGCCCTGAACCATGTTTGGAACTAATCCAGACCACGTATTCCTTCAGGTGAGGAGGTGTTTGGTATTAATAGATTAAATTACTTATTAATACAAGCACCACATCTGCTGCTTCTCTCAGGCACAGAAAACTGTTCTGCTCAGCCCTGCTAAATGATGCTTTAGAAAACACAAAAACCATTGTGGTCAGGAGGGAACAGGAGAGAGTGTGATGGGAGCTAACAGACCCTTGCTGAAGCACCACAAATATGGATTTGTTTCCTGTAAAGTCACTCAATTTTATGGGCACATTGCACCCTTTAAGGCCATAAATGTACAGGGTAGGAGAAAATCACTGAATCAGAGAATCACTGAATTATTTGGGTTGAAAGGGACCTTAAAGATCATCTTGTCCCAGCCTGAAAAGGGACACCTTCACTATCCCAGGGTGCTCAGAGCCCCATCCCACCTGGCCTTGGACATTTCCAGGGATCCAGGGGCAGCCCCAGCTGCTCTGGGCACCCTGGACCAGGGCTTGCCCATCCTCACAGGGAAGAATTTTTTCCTAAAATCTGATCTGAACCTGTAATTTTTCAGTGTGAAGCCATTCCCTGTGTGCTGTCCCTGCATCCCCTGGCCATTGTCTCTCTCCAGCTTTCCTGGGGCTCCTCCAGGCCCTGCAAGGCCGCCCTGAGCTCAGCCCAAAGCTTCTCCTGTGCAGGTGAGCAATGCCAGCTGTGCCAGCCTTTCCTGCCAGCAGAGCTGCTCCATCCCTCTGCCCATCCTGGAGCCTCCTCTGGGCTCTCTGCAGCAGCTCCAGCTCCTCCCTGCACTGGATGAAGCACTCTGATATACAGAATATACAAATTTATAGAAACAACAGAACAAGAGAATCTACAGAACGGAATGTGTATTTTTTGCACTCAGCAATGGCAATGAATTGGCAATAAATTGAACTACAAGTATTTTGTTGGGAAGTTATAATTTGTTGAGGGAGCCCCAAAATTTTCATCTGCTTCCTCAGATGGAAGGAAATAAGCTCAAAACAGTCGTGGTCAGGATGTTGTTGGATTGTGCTGTGAAACAGCACCATGGCCAGTAAAGAACTTCTCCAGTCTTGGTGCAGTATGAGACAAAAGATGGATGGAAAAAGAAATAGAATGTTTTAAGACAAAAGTATCAAACAGGTATCAGCTTCATATTAATCTTTGTCATGTCTCAGCACAGTAAAAATCCCTAGAAAGAAAATGCTCACTGCCTTGTGGTGATTCCATGCTTCATAGTTTGGTTCTTCATTCCAGAAAAGCAAAAACCCCAAACCCACACGTTTTTTTAAAGAAGGGATTAATAGGAAACCTTGTCATATGTGTCACCATCACCATCTCTTCCACACCTGATTTACAATTCCAGATTTATGCTGCTGGAAATCAGTGTCACGAGCCATGCATTGTGCTTATCTGAGGTGGAGCTGGCAGAGAATGAGGGAGAAGCAGAAAGAGAAGAAGAAGCAGAGCAGGAGAATTCTTTTCATGACAAAGCAGGCAGCCTCTGCTGCAGTGAAGATGCTGAGAAACACCTCTGCAAGAAGTGTGTGTCTCTCACAAACAGGAATAGACTCTGAAAGGGAGACTGTCAGAATTCCACATTTCACAGGGACTTTACAAACACTCTCACTTATTTGTGCTCCCTGGCCTGAAGCCACCACCAAGGCAGCAGTTAATCACTGTAAACAAGACTTGCCTGCTACCAATGGCTCTGACAAACAAATCTGCCCAGCAGAATGTACCAAACATATTATTTTCAACATTTCCAAGGCTGTCACAAAGTAGAAACAGTAATAGCCTCTGCTGACAGCTGGGAACGAATGAATTCTGAAAAATTGTTACTTTGCTTCACAGATATGGAATCTACCAGGACCTTGCATGAAGAAGCAGATAATCTGTGGAGTGGGAAGGTGGAAAAATGCAATTTTCTTTATCTCACTGATTCTCCACATATCTTTTATAATGACTATAATATGTAATACCTGCAGTCCTTTAAGCCTTTCATGGCTTTGTGGATGTTAATTAAATGAATTCTCACAAGACCCTTGTGAGGTAGGCAAGTCATTTTTATTTCCCTGGGTGGGAGATGGCTCAGCTAAAGCAGAAAGTTTAAATCACTCTCCTTATCACGCAGGGACTCAGTGGCAAAGACATTTATAACAACTGGGATATTTAAAACACCCCTGAGTGCGTTTTCAGCTGTGGCTCTCAAAGCACTTAGCAAAGGCTCCTTTTTTTTTTTTTCCTCAGTTTTTACAGAAGAAGATAAAGAAATATTTCCAATGGTGTTCTTCACTCAAAGCTGCTGCAGTTGGACCAAGGCAGATTTCCTGCTCCAAGGCACCTCCCAGCCAGGTCACCACAATGCAGCAGAGCTCTCCTGTGGCTCTGGCTCGTCACTCTCTTGATTAATTTCTTTTGTTGGCTCACCCACGTTAAAGATGTCAATATTTTATGAGCTCAGGGTAGCAGAGCTGTAACAGTCTCAGTTATAAAACTTCTAATTAGAAGATTATTGTAATAAAGAAAAAAACACATTGGTTTCTGTAAAAAACAACACCAGGAAAAAAAAAACCCAAAATAAAATGGGGTTTTTTTGCCAGAAATGTATTAGAATATTGTCAAAAAGTGATGGAGAACCACAGGCAGAGTTGCCAAAGGGACTTGGTGAAGGGCTGGGTGAGCCCTTTCCTCCTGCAGGCAGAGGCAGAGAATTCCATGGTGCCAGTGAAGGATGGGATGGGTCTGATCCCAACCCTGTGTTGGGGACCAGGACTGGCCCTGCCCAGTGTTGTCAGGAGCTAGAAAAGGCTTCTTGTGACCAGCACCACCTAGAAATTGTGGGAGGGAGCCTGCAACACTTAAAAGCTGAACATAATAAAACACTCCTTGTGTCAACAACAACAACAAACCCATCAGCTGGAGCCATGGTAACGAGCCTGCAGTGAAAGAAGGCAAGAAAGAAGTATTTCCTACTATTTACTGAAGCAGCCACTTTTTTCCCCCCTAAGAACACTTTGCTGCTCCAACATCTAACATATTGCTTGCCACTGCCTCTTAAGTGACATGCTGAGTCACTGCCAGTGTTCATCTTTTATTAAAATCAAATAAATGATGCCCATGGAAGGGCAGGAGTGCATACCTTTGTGCCTGGAGGAGGAGCAAGGCCCAGGAACGAATAAATGATATTTTCTTCCTTGGCAGAGAAAAAGGATTCAAAATCCTAAGAAAGGAATAAACAAACAACAGAGAATTGGTATCAAAAATCAAACAAAAAGCACAGGAGAAGAGGCAAATTAAGGAAGTTTTGTTATCCCCAGCCCAGGAAAATCCTACATAGATGAGAATGACCATGCATTTGTAAAATTGTCTGCGTTATCCAAGCCCCAGGAAGAAAACACAGATAAAGGGAGTTTCACACAGAGTGGCAAAATGAAGAAATGAGCAAATCTCTCCAGAGACTTACACTTTAATTATATCCCATCCATGGCAGAATCAGATAAAATTAAGTGTCTCTTTTTAACGTGCCTCAGCTGTACACTCCAAGGCAAAGCTATTCCCTTTAAATGTTAAAATAAAACTTGCTGTGAGTAAGGACACAAAATACCCTGGAACTCCTTTATGGCAAATAAAGGCAACAGTCAACATGATAGCTCGAGTGAAATGGTAACAAGGAAACTTCATTTTAGAGAAAGGCAGTCTGGTTAGAAAATGATGTTATTTTCAGACTAACTTAGGGAAGGGTTGTGCTGTTCTCTCTGATATCCATGTACCAGCCAAAATGTCTTGTGCACTGCAGAAATGAAATTATAAATCATTACATTAAATGCCTGTTTTCAGTGGAGATGGAACTGAGAAGACCAGAGATGCCTCCTATCCTGCCAGCTACAGCTTGCATGCCCTTTACTGCTTTCACCTGTACAGCACGCTCTTATCAATTAAGGAAGTTTTGCTATCACTACTTTTATCACTGGGAACTTCACAACTCACATCTTACACAGGTAAAAGCAACAAATATTTAAGTTCCAGCAGAATCTCCAGTTAGAGTGAGTGGCCCAGAATCCCAGCCAGCTCTGAGACAGGAGACTGAACATGTCCTGCTGAGTCCTGCCCTGCTGCCTTGATCATGTTATCGTCCTTCCTCTAATCCCAAATACCTCCAGGAATAGAAGCCTGTAAATAATAAGGTGCTGAATCATCCTTGAGACTTGTTTGTAAAGCCAGGTTAGGAGCTGAGCTGTTTTATTGAGCTGTTTTAGTATTTCCAGAGTATAAATTATTGGAAAGGCTGGAGTGGATGGTTTTGAAGTGACTTTAATGCCAACAAGAATGGAATTGATGACATTTCAGTGCAGTTTGGAAGAGCTTTACAGCCAGGACAAATGACAGCCCAATTCAGTGATTTATCTGAGGGACAGATTGGCTTTCACACAGTCACACCCAGGGGGAACTGCTCTGTCTGGGAGAAGCCCTGGAGCACATTTTGCTGCTGCTCCAGGGCACCCATTTCTCAGACCATCTTCTCATCCAAGCCAGGCACTGTCTGCATCTGGCTCATGGATTTAGGATTGGATCATGGATTTTTTTTCAGCAAACAAGAAAATGAGGATTTTCTGCAATTTGAAGGGCTGCAATTTGACATGGCCACACAAACACAGGAAATTTCCATACTCAAAGCAGCCTGAGCCAACCCTGATATGACATGGGAAGGGCTGGGGAACAAAGAGAAGACAACAACAAGGAAAAGCCATGAAGTGGACTTGATATTTTATAGGACTTTTTGAGGAAAGGTAGCCCATGGCAAGTGTACTAAAATCCTCCAGAAACACAAAGCCTTGTAGATAAGCAGACCTGAGGACACAAGTAAAATGTATGAATGACCAGACAAGTCTTTATCAGAAGTGGGAATAATCTTCTGTGATATCAGGGGCTCCTTGGAAACAGGGAGTGTGCAATGACATCTCACAGTAAATGGAAGGTCACTTATTTCCTTACATTGAGGAGAAAGCCATCATGTATTAAATAAGAGATAAAGGAAAGTCTCCAGTGATCATGGAATAGTTTTTTATGGTGTATTTGCAGCCATGCTTTACTAATGGTGACTTGTTCACATCTCCATTTGCTGAATGACTGAAGATAACTGTTCCCATGGCAGGCAGTAAGAAAAATAAGGAGTAATTTACTTCAGGTAAGCAATTATGTTTTATCTGTATGAAAAGACATAAATGGTCTAAGTGGTGCAATTTGTCAAGTGGACATCAGCAGAAAATTCTTCCCTCAGTGCTAGGTACAGCAGCAGATCAGAGCACGAAGAGAGAGCATGGAAACACCATCCTTGGAGCCTTTTGGAATTCAGATGGCCAAAGCCCCAGACAATATAAGCTAACTTTAAAGCTAACCTGCTCTGAGTATCAGGCTGGACTACAAACCTCCAGAGGTCCCTGTATTTCCATAAATTTGACTTTAGCAGTTACATAAATGATAGAATCATAAAATGGCCTGAGTTGGGATAGGACCATAAAGATCATCTCATTCCAGCCTGAGCAGGGACACCTCCCACTGTCCCAGGTTTCTCCAAGCCCCAACGTCCAACCTGGCCTTGGGCACTGCCAGGGATCCAGGGGCAGCCAGAACTTCCCTGGACAACCTCTGCCAGGGCCTCAGCACTCTCACAGGGAAAAATTTCCTCCTGATATCTAATCTAACCCTGTTCTCTGTCAGTGTGGAGCCATTCCCTGTGTGCTGTCCCTGCATCCCCTGGCCATTGTCTCTCTCCAGCTTTCCTGGGGCTCCTCCAGGCCCTGCAAGGCCACCCTGAGCTCAGCCCAAAGCTTCTCCTGTGCAGGTGAGCAATGCCAGCTGTGCCAGCCTTTCCTGCCAGCAGAGCTGCTCCATCCCTCTGCCCATCCTGGAGCCTCCTCTGGGCTCTCTGCAGCAGCTCCAGCTCCTCCCTGCGCTGGGGCAGGGCTGGGGCAGCTCTGCAGGTGGGAAATCACCTGAGCAGGGCACAGGGACAAAATCTCCCTCCCACCTCTGCCCACACTGCTCTGGATGCAGTTCAGGACACAGTTGGTCTCTGGGCTGAAAAATGTACATTCCAACATCAAATAAAAGCCTTACCTAATAATTCAGAGATGTTTTTTAAAGTACACATAAGGGAACTTTATTCTACAGATTTCAGTTTACAGAAGAAAACAGGGACTTCAGCTTACAAAGAAAACCAGAAGTTTACATCTCCTTTCTCTCTTAGTTTTCTAAGGGTTTTTGTCAAGCAAAAGAAAGAACAAGAGCAACAGAGTGCTCAATATATTTAGCAAGTGACACAGATGCAGACGTCTGTCTAGACATGAGCAAAGAAGCAGCTTAAGAAAAAGATCAAATGAGGAAATAATTGCCAGCACTGCTGGATTAGAATGGATACTTGAAATTGGTGCTGTAGCCAGGCATACAAAATGAATCAATTTCTAATCTATTTCTTCAAGTGGCAATACCAAAGATCTGGGAGAAAAATAAGATCTGAGTTATTTTATCAGCTATTTTGTAGTTTTATGCTTCTCTGACCTCATGGAAACGCTGCTCCCAGGCAGTGTATCTTTATAAAAATCCATCTGTAAGAATCATTCACTTTGCAGTACAAGCTGTGGAGTGGAGCAGATCTTCATGGTCACCCAGAAAATGAAGATACAGAAAATGTAACAGCAGGAAAGCAGATGTGCTGAGGGTTTTGCTTTTTTATCATGTCATTCTATTCTAGAACAAACAGAAGACTCCTCACCTGTCCCCCTTTCCTTTCCACCACTCCAAAACTTTCACTGAACTGCAGAATAGGACACTGGACAAGGTCCCAAAGGACAATTTCTCCAAGGCAGGAACCATTGCCTCACTCTGATCCACTGGTTCTGACCCACCTTTAATGAGGTAATGAGGTGATCACCTGAAAACAATGTATTTTCTGATGTCTGACTTGAACTTTCTTTGCTGTATTTTCTTCCCTTACAGCTCATCCCACCTCCAGTGGATGCAGAACAGAACATATTTTACAAAAAGATATTTTACAAAATCCTAGATAATTCAGGTAGGAAGAAACCTCAGGAGACCACCTAGACCAACCTCCAGCTCAAAGCAGGGTCAATACTGAATTCAGACCAATAATTCACAGCCCTTAAAATAGTTGAAAGTTGTCATGTCTCCAAACCCCTCTTTCTCAGATTAAGAAAGGAACTATTTAACCTTGGCTTTTTATCTCCCAAGGCCAGATCTCCCAGGCCATCATGATGTAATGTGTGTACACATGTGTGAATGGGAACCAAACATTGATAAGAACAATTGATAAGACCATTGATAAGAAGGGAAATGTGGGAAAATAGTGAACCCAGAAAGAGGAATGGGGGAAAATGAAATGTAACAGCTTTGATCTAAAAGAAAAGACTGACCGTGAACAGAGAAAATAAAAATTAGCAGGAAGGTGAAAGGGAAAATATCTTACAAAAAAATGCAAGAGGTGTAAAGAGCTTGACTGGTTTACCTCAGCAAAATGAAGGTTAATACAGGATACAATCCCCGTTTACAAATATACTGGATTGGGCTGTTGAAGCTAAAGGGTGATTTGGGCATAGCAGGAAATGGGAATGAACTGCCTGCATTTAGCCAGGCTACAAATTCTAAGGTTTTCAGGTGCCACAAGAGTGAAGCCCTTAAAAACTGATGAGAGCAATATATTTTAAAAAGACTTTCATGAGTTCAAGATACTGCACACAGACCCTTGCAATCCTCAGGGATATTTTTAATAAAATGACTGAGGCCAAAGGAGTGGGACACAGGGGAAGATGCATCAGACAAACATTAACCAGCCTGAAACAATTCTGGATTTCTGGATGGCTCTGCTGGCAGAATGCAAATCCCCAGGGTTTGATTGTAGAACATGTCACTCGGGAGGATTTTGCAGCAGTTTGGCAGCCCCTGGCCATGTTCTCCGCCCACATCACACTCCCTGTGCAGCTCCCTCGAGGCACCTTCCCCTGGGGAGAAGGGGAAGGCTCATGCACTGATAGGAGTCTCATTACCTTATTTATTTGGAAATAATGATGCCATAAATTAGGCTTTTTTATGCACCCACTTAGGATCATTAGCTCTGAGCTTTAAGAGCTGGGCACATGAGAATTCTGGAGACTTTTAGACTAATTGTAAATTTGATTCAGTTTTTAAATCAGTAGCTGCAACTTCTTTCCCCATGGAGATGTTTTTGCAAAGGAGAATTTCTTCACTTGAATTTATTTCAATATGTAGATTATTTGGCTTCCTGAAATAGCTTCAGACATGCAGGAAAAACTGTGTATTTATCATTTACTGTCAAGACTGACCAGATGCAACACTTTATAAGGCAATTATTCTTTAATTCCTTATATACTTCTCCAAGGAACATCAGAAATATTTATTGCAGCACTGGCTGCCACAAAACCCAGAGCAAGATATATCAAATTATACTTTTTATTGGTGCAGACTGGATGCTGAAATGCACATGAGCTCCAACACACCAACTTCTCTTTTAGGAATTCTATGAGAAAATGAGAAAACAGCTGCACTCCAATATTCATATTATGAACTTTTGCTTTGAGAGCACTGAAGTTAATTCTGAAAACTCAGTGGCATGAAAATCCCAGTACAACCTTGCAGGAGCTCACACTGGATTTGTGCAGTAACTCCAAACCAGGCTCACTGTGTTCCCTGCATTCCAGAGCACTTTGCAGGTCCATTCCAGCCAGCAGATCTCAGCACTTTCCAGACTGGGCATTTCCACCCAGACTGGGAGAAAATAAAAGGTCTCAGATTATCTCTTTTGATTCACAGTCCTAATATTCCTGCTGGAACATTGTTATCTTTCTGTGCTTTGAACAAACTGTCTCAAGAGAAAGAACCTGTTATAAGCACATATGAAAATATAAAAGCATCTGATGAGTGCTACAGTTGCTGTTATGAAGGGTTGGATGTTTATTGAATAAGCAATATAATGCCACTAATTCAAACCACATTCTAGAACTATTCCCGTAAACAAACATTCCTATTTATTTGTATAATATAATGGAAAAAGAAGAGCCTCTGGTACCTCAGATATCTACTTGATGTCCTTGATAAGTCCAAACAAACAAAATATCAATACTCTTCATCAAAATTAACTGAAACTTCAAGAACTTTCTTCAGCCAGTTTTCCCTCCATTCATATTTTGCTTTCAAAAATAAAAAAATCTGTTTTGTTGCTTTTCTGTAATAAAAAACTGTTTCCTGAGAATTGTTCTTTCACAGCGAATCTCAAATTGTTTTAAGGAGTTTGTTTGACACTTCCTGTTAATGGAAAAGAGTCCCTTTCTGTGAGAAGCCACTCTCTGGAATATTTAAATTTCCCAACAGCTTCTTACCCCACAGTACCGCTCCTCGTTGAAGATCTGTGGAGGGAGGGGAATTCCATTCTGAGGCTTTTTTTCACCTGGGACATTCTCTCTCATCCATTTCCTGTTGTCCTCATCTCCTGCTATGTCCATTTGCTGGAAGTCAATCTTGTTGGCCTCTAAAAAGCCCACGACTTCTTGCTGCTTCTTTTTGATCTGGGTAGGAGAGAGGGAGAACAACATTCCTTCTTTAAAATGAAAATGGTTTTCTAAAAGCAACTGCTGTTATAAGAATTCAGGCAAGTTTGTCAAGTTTAGAGAAGTTTTAGGTTGGAAAAGGCTCCAAGATCATTGAGTGCAACCTTTGGCCAATCCCCCCCTTGTCCCCAGCCCAGAGCTCTGAGTGCCACATCCAGTTATTCCTTGGGCACCTCCAGGGATGGGGATCTAAACCTCCCTGGCAGCCTGTTCCAATTCTTTTTCCATGGAAAAATTCTTCCTGAAAGTTGGAAATTCCTGAAGTGGGATTCACTTTTCCAGTAGCCCTCAAAGTTTTTGAAGCTGAGATTCAACACTTTCTGTCAGCACCCAGAGTGCTGCCACTCCATCCCTCCCACCACACACCCACCCCCAGCTCCCTTCTTTCCTCCCTGGATGCAGTGACAGCTCCAGCTGAGAAATGAGGCTCAGCAGGAAGCCTCCTACTGTGTTCCCAGATCTGGGAATGTGCTGTACAGATACCTATGGTGATCCTGCCTCAAGCCAGCAAAGGTCAGAAAATATACAGATTTTCCTCAGCATGTTACATCCTCCTTCTTCCTCCCAACCTAAGTGACATTCAGCTTTCTGTGAACCACATTTCTCTTTGTTCTTTAATGTTAGGTATAAATAAATTTCACAGAATCAGAATCACACAGCAGTTGGGATTGGAAGGGATCTTCCAAGGCAGGGTCACCTGGAGCAGGTGACACAGGAAAGTGTCCAGGTGGGTTTGGAATGTCTCCAGAGAAGGGGAATCCTTGTTTTCCCTGGGCAGCTGTTCCACGGCTTTGCCACCCTCAGTGTAAAAAGTTCTTCCTCACATGGAAGGTGGAATTTCTTGGGTTTTAGTTTATGGCCATTGCTCCTTGAGATATAATATATATTAATATGAGTTAAGGCTCAAGAAAACCCAGCACAGCTGAGCTCCTGTGCTTAAATAAATCCCCCATTACAGAATGAGATTCCAGTTGGACCACGAAGAACATGTTATGTACAAATAAATCTTGTTACACACAGCTTCTCTGACACCTAAAATTCCCTCATGGCCCTTTTATTCCCTCTGATGCTGGTTCTGTGCAGGCACTGAGCTTATAACCCATCCATGTACTCTGAAAATGTAACACTCACTGACTTTCCCTACTAAAGGAATGCAGCTTTTAAAGAACTTGCCCCCAGACACAGCTGGAATGAGACATCAAGGTAATTTTTATATCTTGTGATTTGAAACCACGTCCTTCAGATGTCAGACATCTGAACACCTGAAATTAAAGTGACACCAAGCTAGTGTAAATCAGAGGGACAGGCAATGAGATGAGAAGTAAATCAGGGATTATGTATTTCCATAATCTAATAAAACAGAAGAGCTGAAGTAGAGTGATAGCCTATTATCCTGGAAAGATGAATTCTCATGAGTAGATAAAATTTCTTTTCTTTGTACAAACAAAGAAGCATCTGTCTATACACAGGCTTGCTAATAAAAAATAACAAACATAAAATTCTGTACATTTTTGTGACAACAATAGAGGTTTGCAGTGAGCTAAAGAAAGTGCATCACTTTGAATGAAAACACTAATCCAAAGTGGTCAAAAGCCATGCAGCTGACAGACCTCAAAGCTGCTTATTTCTATTCTTATTTTCTCTTTTTAAACAGAAACAATCTCATTACTGCCCATTTAGCTGCAGAGTTATTTGCAGAACACATCCAGGCAGCAGAAAGGATTGCTCAAGGGACATTTCACTGGAGAAAGTGGCAGGATAATGCTTGTGTAAATGGTTAATAAAATCTGCAGGAGCCAGCAGCAGGGGTACCATCACATGCTCTGAGAGCCAGGCCACTCAAGTGCTGGCAGCTGCAAGGGCAGGGTCAGCCTGTCCCTCTGGACACAGGCACTGCAGGAGATGGGGCTCCTGGAATAACTGCTGCTCCAGACAGACACTGCCTCTGAGGAGATAATGGACATGGAGCCAGAGATCCTGTGCTCCCCTGCTTATGAAAGCTCTCACTTTTAAGCTTGGCTTGATTTCTCTTCAGCCTGAGGTTCATAATGCACAGGCAGCACCAGGCCTGAAAGCAAAAAATTGCCTGAAAAAATTAATGCTGAGGTAAAGCAGTGAAGTTTCATGGAATTATGCTGCTAAAGGAAAAGGCAAGGAGTTTCTGACTATGACAATGAGATAAACAGAGCAGAGTGTGAAAGACACCAATCACTTGTTATTAAATTTTTAAAAGTTTAACAGTAATAAAATGGTTATCAAAAGAGTAATACAATTGGAGTAATAATAATTTGGACAATTTGGATTAGGACAATATGAGACAATAGAGACAAAGAGTTACAGACAGTCCAGGTACTTTTTCCGGGCAGCACAAGCCCAAAAAAGGACACCCATTAACAGAGGATTAACCCTTAAAAACAACAGCCTGTTGCATATTCATACACCTCATACATGATGCATAAATTCCATTCAAACACAGGATTCTGTCTGGTCAGTGTCAACTTCTTCCTCTGAATCCTGACAGTGCCTTCGGGGTGGGAAGAAGTTCGTTTCTCCTGATATTGGAGCAATAAATTCTCTTTCTCTAAAAAATTCAGGTGTCCTGTGGCTGCTACCTCAGTGCTAGTCCTTTCTTTAAAAAATGTATCCTACATAGCATCGTTTCTATTTTAACATTTTGTTATAACCTAAAACTATATTTAACACAGTACTTAAGAGAATTAATACAGCATTACTTTCTAACACAACACATATAATATTCATTTGAATATTTGTGAAAAGCCAATCATAAAATACATGCATTTTTCACGAGAGGATGTGCTGTGCCTTAGGGCTTACCATCACTGGGGTTTAGGCACAGCAAAAGACTTGGGACTCAACCGAGTGTGAAACCACAAAGCAAACCTTTGTTGTGGGTGGCACTAAGTGGGCAACCAAAAAAATCTCTCCAGGAAGCAGCACTGACAGAGGGAAATTTAGGGTGTAACAACACAAAGGACATGCAAAGGCTTTCCCAGAATGGATGAGATGCAGGGGCTTGTTTGTGCCCTCCCATGTCTGGTGGCATGGGAAGAATTCAAATTACTTGGGCATAGATTACTTGGAAAGTGGTGATGAGCAGGATATTATTTCAGCAATGCCAGTTTTTCTTTCAGCAAAGCTTGAGTTGCACCACCCCTAGCTACTAGTTCCTTAAAATAATAACAAAAAATTTTGCTTTAAATAAATTTTATCTAGCTAGAGTGTAAGAATTGCCAGAGAGGTTGTGGGCTGAGAATCCCTGTAAGTGTTCAGGACCAGGCTGGATGACAGAATCAGAGAATGGTTTGGCTTGGAAGGGACCTTAAAGATCATCTCACTGCAACTCCCTGCATGGGCAGGGACACCTTCCACTGTCCCAGGCTGCTCCAAGCCCCATCCAACCTTCCATTTCCAGGGATCCAGACGCAGCCACAGATTCCCTGGGAAACCTGTGCCAGGGCCTTATCACCCTCACAAGGAAGAATTTAATCTTAATATTTGATCTAACCCTTTATTCCTTCATTTTAAGGCCATTCCCTGTGTGCTGTCCCTGCATCCCCTGGCCATTGTCTCTCTCCAGCTTTCCTGGGGCTCCTCCAGGCCCTGCAAGGCCACCCTGAGCTCAGCCCAAAGCTTCTCCTGTGCAGGTGAGCAATGCCAGCTGTGCCAGCCTTTCCTGCCAGCAGAGCTGCTCCATCCCTCTGCTCATCCTGGAGCCTCCTCTGGGCTCTCTGCAGCAGCTCCAGCTCCTCCCTGCGCTGGGGCAGCTCTGCAGGTGGGAAATCACCTGAGCAGGGCACAGGGACAGAATCCCATCCCTTGCCCTGCTGGTTATGCTGCTTTTGATGATGATTTGAAGGGGGGAAAGTTCATTAAATGTCACCAAAAGCACAGGAAATAGAAGTATTTTAGAGGCGTCATAACCACAAGCAGCAGAAAGCAAGACTCTAAGAAGTCCTCTGTGAGACATGAATCCTCTTTCTCCCACAATTCAGAATCTTGCAGGATTCTAAATTCTAAACACCCCTGTGACTAGCAGCAACATTATTTTATTTTTTTTATTGTTTGCTCCAAGCCAAGCATTTAGTGCTTTTTAGTGCTATAAATGTCTCCACTGCTGCCTGCCTTAATGAATAGTTCAATATCAGCTAAGTCTGGAGCAGAAAGATAATAAAGCTGGAGATATTTAAAATAAATTTTTGAAGCATCAAGGGGAAAAATAGAGACTGCAGATTTGCCCCAGAGCCACAGTGAATTATAACACTCCTGCACCTGATCCACAGCACCAGAATGTCACTGGGTTCACTGCATTCACTTGCACAAAGTATTTATTAACATGAAAACCACTTGCAGTTGCTAGGGTGACCATGTAGTACATAAAATAGAGAATTTTTCATTCTTTGCCAGTGATCCTCTGCTGATTTACACCAGAGGCTTGGCCCATCTTATCCTGAATTCAAAATCAACACCATGCATTTGATGGGATCAGCCACCAAATTTGAAGAGTTCACCAGTACTAATAGGAGAATTTAAACTTCCAATTTAAACTGTTTAGGGATTAAATTAATTCTCCTCAGGAAAAGCTGTACATGCTTGATACAACATTTCTATTTAATAGAATAGGATTTTGGTGATATATTGAGGTTTGTGCTAACTCCCTGTGTGAGTGAATTTATTTTATTTTATTTTATGTATACCAGAACTCATTAAAGGTTCATTGAAAGATACTTTCCATCCATGTTCATCAGAAAATGTGGAAAACTGCTTCAGGTGTACTTGGCATTGCAGTTCAGAATCAGTGATCTGAACCCATGCTGAGATTGCTACAGATATACACACACCCAGCACACCAGAAAGGAGCAAATACAGAGGAATATCACCCTGTGAAGATTCCATCATTTTCTTTTGGAGTCTCCAGATCAAAACAGGCCAAACAGGAGCAAGAAGAATGCCCATGGCAATTTATAAAGTGAATGTTCATTACAAATTGCGAGCTACCAAACCTGAAATTCCCAACTTTCTCTTCTTTTGTTTTCCTCTTGTATCTGAATTTTATTATTAAAAAAAAAATTTAAAAAGCTAAATAACAGTAGTAATTTTAGAATGTAAGGCTTAGGAACAGGCTGGTGAGAGAACTGCAAATTTCCTCAGCAAGGAAGGAAATGAACTTCCGTAAAGGACCCTTGGTTCATTCCCTACAGATGATGGCCCCATAAATGGGGGGTGTTTTTTGGAGCTTTTCCACTCTGGAATCTTCTTAAAGAAATGCAGCTGGTGTCAGGGAGATAGAGATGTAGTCAGAGCTCTGTGCCAGCCCCAGCCAGTTTGTTTAGCCGTGTCACTGGGAGGGAGAGGGAGGCAGTGCCAAAGGAAAACTGCAACCTGAGCTCATCTGGGAACTGGATATAAAAGGAAACAGTCCTTCCCCGGTTCCCACCTCCCACGGACTTCCAACCTCCCTACTATTCACATGCCCTTCCCTTCAGCTGATACTCTCTGCTGACAGCTACAGCAGTAGATCTCAATGCTAAAAATCATCAGTATAGCATTTCAACAGACACACACACACCAAAAAAAAAAAACCAACTAAAAAAACCCAACCAAACACCAACAAACAAACAAAACCCGAAAATCCAAACAAACATAAACAGTTCAACCATCCCCAAGAAGCCAAACAAGAAAAAACCCAGAAAAACCCAAACAAATGAACACAAACAAACAAAACCAAAAAGAAAACACTAAATAAACAAAATACCTCCCAAAACCCAGGAAAAGAAGGAGCTTGGGAAATAAGTTTTTCTAACTTCATCCAGCTCCAGGTTCTTTCTTAGGCAGAGTTCCCCCTTTGCAGGAGCAGTGTCCCAAAGTCTCTTTTAAAAACAAACACTTAATTTTCTTCTGTAAACAGTCCAGTGTCGCTTTTGCACAAACACAATACCCACTGTTTCCTTCTTCAATTTACATATATTGCAAATAATTTCCCAAACAGCAGTAAATCTATGAAATGACAGGTAATTTAGATGAAAATGTTGTAAAAGCTCACACAGACAGGAATTCTCTACACCTTGAGCAACCTTCAAGAATAAGCTGGTCAGGGCAGAATAAAAATAATAAAATGCTAAGAATTCCAGCGGGTTTTTCATCACATGCAGGCTCTTTCCTGGCATTTCCTGGGCTAATTCCCCACCCTGATCCCAGGAGGATGTTAAAGGTGTCACCTACCGCTGTAGAGCCCGAAGATGTGGCCACAAACACTTTGATCACCATGCTGGCAGCGGTGGGAGTGAATCAGCAGAGCAGCCCTGCTACCCACGAGTCACCACGATCCCTGGAGGAATCCAAAATGTCCCTGAGCTCCTGGGCTAAGCCGGGTGCTAAATGGATGCTCCCTCCCCCCTGCAGCCCGGCTGCTTTGCCCTCTCTCCCTCTCCTCGGGGTCCCGGGTTTTCCCACTCCATTGGCTCTTGGGGTATTTTGGGACCAGGATTGGGCAGTAAGAAGAGCCAGAGCAAGGGGTTTGCACCTGCCCCTGGCCTTATTGCGTGAGATTGACAGGGAGGCAGCCCAAAAAAGGCAAGGGAGAGTAGTGCACCAATGAGACAGGGCTGGAGAAATATTTGGGAGAGGGGGAAGGGACAGCTGAGAAGGGACGGGGAGCTGGCGACTTCGTGCTGGGGGCAATCCCAAAGCTATGGGAAAGAGCTTTCCCAGATCACTGCAAGGCTTTGGAGCTGTAGCTGGAAGTTTACAAACACACTCAGCTTTAAAGAATTCAGATTATCACCTACACTGCAGGCTCAGGGACTTTCCTGACATAAATGTGTGTCTGACATTGCCTGATATTGATTTGCCTGCCTGGATGTACCCTTGTATCACTGCAAGGCTTTGGAACTGTAGCTGGAAGTTTGAGGGGAAGGGGAAAGCAAAGGGGAGCAAAGATGCAGCAGTAATTATAGCAGAGATCAGATTGAAATAAGCCTTGGTTACAAACACACTCAGCTTTAAAGAATTCAGATTATCACCTACACTGCAGGGCTCAGGGACTTTCCTGACATAAATGTGTGTCTGACACTGCCTGGTAATGATTTGCCTGACTCAATGTACCCAGAACCTATTGGTGCATTTTCTCCTCCTTTTTGCATCAAAGAAGATTTAAGAAGTAGTCCAGTATACTCAGCAAAAAATATTCCCATTCTCCTGTGTTATCCACCTTTTTTTTGTGTTATCCTCCTTTTTTCCATCTGGTTGTCACCTTCTACCTCAGAAATCACCACAATTCAGTGCCTGCCTGCACATACTTGCTGAAGGAGGTCTCTGGGCATGAGAGGCATTTGAAGAATGTTAAATGGTCACAGATTATTTTCAAATTTTAAGGGGCCAAGTCTGTTTGTGCTGTGAGCAACATGAGCTTAGTAAAGCTGACCCTGTGCCAGAGGTGAAACTGGACTAGGTTTTAGAAAAACATATTTCACATGTTAAGATTGAATCTAGTAATGTCTGCCCTGACCACCTTATTCTGGATAGTTGCTAGTGTTAAGATTGAATGTAGCAATGGGTCTGATCCTGAAAACACTTAAAATGGATTATAATACTTTATTTCCAGAATTTATTAGATAGAGCTAAAACCACTATTACATAAAGAGTAAAAATGCTGTTGAGTTTTTTAAAAAGTTAAAAATTTTACTCTTTATAGTTATAAAGAGTAAAAATGCTGTTGAGTTTTTAAAAGAGTAAAAATTTTACTCTTTATAATTATAAAGAGTAAAAATGCTGTTGAAAGGAAGTTTTTTGTCTGTGTTAACCAGTATGCTAAGCTGGAAATGCAGTACTCCATGTATGGAACTGGGATCCTGAAAAACTGCACTGAAAACTAAAAATAACAGTATGGTAGTTTACTGTGGCTCACCATCTGTCATTTCTTTTTTACTTTTGAGGGGTAACAGGAGGTCCAGCAACAAGCCTATTAGAAGTAGATATTTTCAGAGTATTTTCCTGAAAAAGAACAACAACCATGAAAAAACCCCAGTGAGAAAACATTAATTGTAGCCTGAAGTTATTACACATGCTTGTTTCCCAGGAGATTTGATATGTGAGTATAGCCTGGGAAAAGAACTGGCCATTTGGAATAGAATGTTTCCCAATTATTTGGTTCTCTGTGCCCTGATGAAGTACAAACAAAGTGGTCCGGGGCTTCAGAGCATATTGATCAGCCTTGTGATAATGATGTTAATTTATCAGAGAATAATAGTTTATCAGAGAATCACAGAATAAGCTGAGTTGGAAGGGGTCTACAAAGATCTTCAAGTCCAACTCAAGGCTGTGCACAGCATCATCCACAAGAGTCACAAAAGTCAAAGAAGTAAAAGCAGAAAATATTTGCACCACCAAATGTTCATGATCAAATTCTGGTACAGAATTGCCAATGAACTCTCACTCCTGTTTGGCTTCGTACCTGAAACCCTCACTGAGCCACACATGGAAATGCCATTCCCAAGGGCTTTGGGTCACAACTCCCATTGTGTGCAGCCTCCAAGGAAAACATGGCTGCATTCTGAAAGGATTTTTCCCCTTTTTCAACTTAAGAATGTTGAGTTTAACGCCGAGTTTGGGGCCTGCTGGGTCAGGCCTGTGCACTCTGAGGGCGCATCCAGGCCTTGAGACACCTCTATGGCCAGGGCCCAGCACGACCCACATCTCCAAATTCCCATTAAAACCCTGGAATGGTACTGAAATATGGAGGTGGAAATACACACACAGGCTCCTCTGCTGGGTCTGGGGTGAGGGAAGAGGGAGGAAAAGAGTGAGACCCCACTGCCAGGGTGCTGCCGCCATTTCCCACAGCAGCAGGGATGAAGGCCTGTGATGGCGGCTGGTGAGGGGACAGCACACACTGGGGTGGGAGCGGGGAGAGATCCCCAGGGAGGACACGAGACAAGGTGGGATCCTTCACCTGTGGGTGCCAGGGGCACAGGAAGAACAGAGAGGGGTGAGGAGAGGACATGGGGCTGGATGTGGGATTGTGTGTCCAGTGGGACATTGAGGGAGTGCCAGGACATGGGGCTGGATGTGGAGTTGTGGGACATTGAGGGAACTATCAGGATATAGGGCTGGATGTGAGGTTATGGGACATTGAGGGGGTGCCAGGACGTGGGGCTGGGTTCTGGATTTTGGGACACTTAGGGGACTGCCAGGACATGGAACTGGTTTGGGGTTGTGCGTCCAGGTGCACCTTGAAGGGATGCCAAGACATGGGGCTGGGTGTGGGATTATGTGTCCGGGTGGGACACTGAGGGGACTGTCAGGACATGGGGCTGGGTGTGGGATTTTGGGACATTGAGGAGGTGCCAGGACATGGGGCTGGGTGTGGGATTATGTGTCCAGGTGGGACACTGAGGGGACTGTCAGGACATGGGGCTGGGTGTGGGGTTTTGGGACACTGAGGGATTTCCGGGACATGGGGCTGGGTGTGGGGCTGTGTGTCCAGGTGGACATTGATGGGGTGCCAGCACATTTTCATCTTCAACACAGGCATTTGGCCCTAATTCTTTTTATTCCTGTTCCATTTCAACATAAATTCTCCTGGAGTTAGTCCATTCCATCCCTTCCCTCTATAATTCTATTGCAGTATCTTTCATTTCATATCTCTCTTTCTTCTGCTTCAACTTTGGTTTTCCTGTCTTCTCCTCTATTTTATTCACTTCTCAACAGCTGCCCTGGATGAGCAGATTCAGGCCAGGCTTCTCATCAAAACAAATTAAAGCATTATTTTTAGGTTTGATTTTAGGTAATTTGCTTTAAAGACAATTTGCCTAGAAAGTGTTGGCTGTGCCAAATCAAATTTTAACACAAATACAGATATGTGAACCAACCTGGGCTTTGCCTAATGCTCAAAATATGATTTCTCATCTCTTGTGGGTCATTGCACTGTCTGAGATTTAGCAGAACTGTGGAACTCCTCAGTATTCCACAAGGAAAAACTGTTCATGCAAAGGAATTAAGAGTAATGAAACTGTTGTGATTCAGCCTAAAACGTTCTGTGCAATCCTGAATTACGTTTTTTAATTTTCTTTGGGAGATATGTGATTCCCCTCTCCCATTTAAGAAATTTAATTTAAAATGAAATGCCAGCACCAAGCAAAGAAACCAACAAAGGAGTTAGAAGGGTCTAAGAAAATAGTTTCATATTTTGTTAGTGAAGGGGATGTGTTAAAAACCCTGTGAACTAAAACATCATTTTAACCCCCCTCAAATTTCCTTTCCACAGTTGCCATGCTCCTTTTAGCCCCCAAAACTATACAACTTATCCTTCTACTGAGTAAAATTCTTTGTTTATAAATGAATTTTAAGGGAGCAAAGATTAATTTCTCTGTGGCCCTGTTGTTGCTATGAGATGAATGTGACATTGCCACTCTCAAAACCCCCTATTAGCAAATATTTTCCTACTTTTCTATTTTTTTTCCTCTTTTATGCAAGAAATAAAAGTTGAATTATCACTCTGGGTCCCAACATTTAACATCTTTTGTGTTTTAATCTCGTTTTCAGATATGTTTAGAACCTAATTCCTTTTCACAATTGTGGCTCAAGGCAAAACTTGCCTCTCCTCACCTGAAGTGGATTGGAACATAATAAGAAAATTGAATGGGCATCAAGCCATATCCTAAGAGATGATTTTTCCCAGAACTACAGGGTTTAAATAATTCTGCCAGGAGAACAAACTGATCTAGAACTTCCCAGTGTCCTCTGCAAGGAAAAAAAAAAAAGAAAAAAATGGGGGAAAAAGGGAAAAAAAGAAAAAAAAAAGGAACATAACAGTTATTCAGAAAGACCTAGAAAATTACTTAGAATTATTCATTTTATGTTAAATATATGCTTTTTACAAGCACATTAAAATAGTTTTAGGTTCTTCTCTATCCTCTGCTTAGAGTGTGCATCTGGAAGCTCAGGTGGTTTTTGTGCTGTTTTTAAGGGATTAGTTAATTTTGTGATCTGTTTTGCTGTCTAATTCTTGGAAAATGTGATTACTGATATTTTTATGACATGAAATAATGTGAAATCCCAGGTAGGGTGGTGACCTGTTGGAGAAGACACAAGTGAACATTCTCCCAGTGATGATTCCAAGAGCTTTTTCAGTGGCTGCCGCTGAAAGAGTCAGAGGACGCAAACCTTTGGGAACACCAGGAACTGAAGAGAGGGCAACCCAGAAAAAGGACAAGACAAGAAAGGAAAGAAAGAAATATGGACTGTATCTCTATGCCCAAGGTGATAAAAAAGGTAAATTTGTTTTCTGGTAGTATGAGATATTTCTGGTAGTATGAGAGTCTCTTAAAAAATGTCATTGTTCCCTTTCTTTGGCTTTTTTTGATAATTAGCAAGGCAACAGTTTTTCAGTGAGAGGATTGGTGTAATATATAATATAATATAATATAATATAATATAATATAATATAATATAATATAATAATATATAATAATATATAATAATATATATTACATGTAATATATTTTATATCTAATCTATAGCCTATAATCCAATAAATTTATCTTATCTTATGTATAATACTATAAAAATGCTATATAAAACATATATAATAATTTCGTATATATAAATAATATATATATATTTTTATATATAAATATATAATATATAAATATATAAACATTAAATATATAGTATATAATATTTATTATTATATTATATTATATTATATTATATTATATATGTTTTATATATTATATGTAAATTACATTTATTCTTTATACATATAATTATATTATATAAATTAATTTTATATATATTATATATTTTTAAATGTATGTATATTTTATATATATAATAAATTCTATTTCAAACACCAGTAAGGGGAAGGAAGAGAAAGATCCTCGGCTGTGTTATCCCACAACTCTCAGTGATCCAAAGGGAGAATCCCCTGGGATGTGGGAGCCCTTGGCAATCCTCATTCCTCAGCTTTAACCCAAGGTCCTGACAATGGCTCTGCCACATCTTGGTGTCTGACCATGCATCACCAGCCAGTCTGAAAAAGCTTTTCTTGAGGAAAATGGGTAAAAATAATACACAAAAATGTCAGTTTTGCCCAGAAAACAGCCATTTTGTGGCCAGCTGGGTCGTGGTGTATCCTGTGAAATGAATTTGTGCCTCAATGGAATGAGCATAGAGAAGGGAGATGGAAACAGACATGGAATTTATGCCACTGTTAACATCAGGAATCTCTCCATGTCTGCATCTTTAACCATCTCAACCTATCCTTTCTTAAATCCTGTAGTCCTATATCACAAAAATGAGCAGAAAACCAGCAACCCTTTTCCCGCTGAGCTTCAAAATTTCATCTTGATTTACCAAAGCTACAAGATGGAAATCAATCCAAAAAACCCCAGAAACATTGACTGTCTCTGTTATAATCTCTGTTATTATATGCTGCAGTCAAGAAGTTACACTGGCATGAAAGTAGCAGACCAGAAAATATAATGTCATTTTTTATATCTAGTTAGCAAAAAATCATTATTGACCTCTACCTGTGGTGGATAATTTATTGTGTATACTTGTATATCTAGTATTATTATTACTTGGATAAAGTGTTTATTTTTGCTTGTCCATGACTACTGGAAATGAAATACATTTTACAGTACTTCTGACAGCTTTTGCAGAAAGGTATTTGCCTTTTTTTCCCATCCTCTCAGTCCTTTCTGGCAAAATAAAATAGTAAGATAATGTAATTTTGCAAATACTTGTGTAACAATATTTGTGGTTTTATTGTAGTTTTCCTGCAATAGAATTGTGTTGCAGAAAATATTGGATTAAACAGAATTTTTTGGAAAGATCTGTCTTTTTATTCTGATGGTTTTTAAAGTCAGGACCTTGCCTGCTTTATCCATAAAATCTGAGGTGATCTATAAATTATAATAAACTTTTAATCAAAATACTGCCTGAAATGCCATGAGAGCTCTAGTGAAACTGAATATATGCCTGAAAAAGAGGAATACACTCAGATTTACAGTCTTTAATATTTTTAAATTCTAATCCTGCTTGAGGAGAAGCAAATGAGAGGAATTCAGCCAGAATCCTGGCCATAAATAGAGGCAAATGGCAGCAATACACTGAGAAGTAGCACATTAATGTATTTTTAATTGCTGTTTAAAAGCCACATAGACAACTGCACACGTGTTCTGTGCAATGAGCATTTAAGGTTTATTTTAAAATGTTGTTTAATTCAAAGCTGACTGGAAAGCTGTAGAAAACTGGTTAGAAATCCCAGCTGCAGGGATTTCAGCCATGTGCTGTTGGGAGCATGTTGGTTTTTGAGTCCTTGATGACCTGTAAATCACTCTGTTGTTTTTTGGTGGTTTTTTGTTTTGTTTTTTATCATGCGCCTATTCAAGGTGCAGACTCTGATGGGTTGAATTGGTTTCATCAGATTGTGGCTACATTAGTGAAGTGTATTATTTACAGGAAGAAAACCGATTTCCGTGGATTGAAAATTGATTTCTGTTGATTTATTTCCTTTTATTTCCATTGGCTGCTAGCTGTGGTCTGCTGCAGCCACAAAAAGACAGAGAGATATAAAATATTTAATGCATTTATCTGTGAATCATTTGAATCACACAATCCTGGAATGGTTTGGGTTGGAAGGGACCTTTAAGATCATCTTGTTCCACCCCCTGCCATGGGCAGGGAACCTTCCCCTAGACCAGGCTGCTCATTGAACATCAGTTTTGGGGCATTTTGTGAAGAAACCACAATTCTGTAGCTGGATAAGCAGGGAAAGCACACAGTGATTGATTTTTCTGCAATAATTTCTGTCTCTCAACGCCAATTCTCTCTGATCTCACTGCAGGAGGGAAGAAAGGACCAAACACCTCCAACCTGAACTCCTCCTTCTCACCCATGCAGAGCGGGGCGGGTTACCAGGAAAAAAACCCAACTGCCCAGCGAATATCTTCAGCCAGGATGCACAAAATTAAAGAGCTGAAGAACGAAATATTCGACCTGCGAAAGAAAATCGAGACGTGGAGCTTCGAGAACCTGGCTCTGAGGGAGCTGAACCGGCGGCACACCACGGCCATGGAGCGGCACGGCAACACAGAGAGCCACCTGCAGGAGATGCTGGCAGAGCATCGCAGCGACATGCGACACCTCAGGAACCTCCTGAAAATGTCCCAGGAGGCCGAGAGGAACATGGCCAGGGAGCTGAAGAAGGTCGAAGCGGATCTGAGGAGAACTAAAGGTGATCTGAAGGCTTTGGCTGTGCTGTCGGAGGACAAAGCTCTGGCAGAGAAGGAGGAGCTGAGTCGCAGGTTGTCAGTGCTTAATGAAACATTGGAGGCAAAGGATGAGAGGATACAGGTAGTGCCTGCAAATTGTTGTGTTTGTGGAATGTAGGGAATTATAGAATTCCTAAATTGGAAGGGAATCACAAGGATCATTAAACAGGAGAAGTTTCAGTGCAGGAATAGTGGAAAAGTTTTGGCTGCTTATCAGATGAATGATTCTGATATAATCCTGTAACACTGGATGCTGTTTAATCCAGTACTCTCCTGAGTGTAAGGAAGTTCAAGAGGAGATAATTCATTTCCTTTTAGTGTCTCATGTTTCTTTACTCTCACTGACCCCAGCACAAAAAAGATAGGAACACAATTTTTACGACAAAACTGGCAGAGTGAAATTTCCATGGTCCTCCAGGAATTCATTTCTATCTCCTATGAATTTCCTCCAGGAATTTCCTGCAGGAATGAATTTCCTCCAGGAATTCATTTCTATTTCCTATAGGGTCAGTTATAATTAGAATTAAATAAAGAGCCAGGAATTCTTAAGAGAAACTGTAAATATGAACAGCTGAATTCAGACTCTCTTTTAAAAACTTTCTGTTTCCAGGAGTGAGGAGCTATAAAATCACACCTGATACTTTTAGGAACTGGAATTTCAGTGCATGGCCCTGGGTTCTGAAGATAAAGAACCCAATAAATCACCAAATTTTCATTTACACTAAGCCTCCTTATTCTGCTACAGTTCATAGGTCTGTGTGAATAGAAAGCCTTAACATTTCTCAAAGATAGTTATATTAATTAATCCATCAGAAAGGTAATGTACGGCCTTATTTTTATGATTGAATGCCAAAACCTTTTCTTTTGTTTACTGAAAATAGGTTTAAAACCTTTTATCTCTTACTTTGGAATCAATTTTTCAGATACCTCAGTATAGTTTAATGTATTGTTTACAATACATGAATATTATTTATAATACATACAATATTTTATAATATTATTTATATTACTATGTGTATTATTTATATTACCATAAATAAGTAAATACTATTATATTACTATTATATACTATATAGTACTATAATATTATTTATATTGCTATAATTAGAATATAATAATGGTTATTATACATAATTATGAGCTTAAATTTCCTTATATTAGCACACTTTTATTTTAAATCAGTCAAGAACAAGTTTTCCAATTGTCACAGTGAGAATGGTAAAATCTGTGCCTTTTTTAAGAGTCTGGAGATGCAGCTGAAGATGAACAACAGCACCTTTAGTCGTCAGCTGGCAAGTGAGAGCAGAAAACTCCTGGAAGCTACAATGACCACAAAGAAGTTGCTAATGGAAATTAACATTGCTCACCAAAAAATTAAGGTATTCCAGGTTTTGTCCAGATTTCTGTCTCCACAGGAAAATTCAAATATTTAATGTTACCTATTCCTTCTTTCTTTTTTTTTTTTTTTTTTTTTGCTTCTTTGGTTTTCTTCTTTTGCTTTTATTTTTCTTGGTTTTTTGGGGTTTTTTTTTGCTTCTTTTACAGTATTTACTAATAGAATTTGTTTTCCTGCTTCAGCTACAATCTACTAAAAAAGCCAGAAATGTCAAATTCTTCATCATTGTGGGTCTGTTTGTTAGAAGTAGTCAATAATTAATTGAAGCAGAGATTAATGCATCAGAAATATAACCAAAATCCACAATTTGGTCAACATTTTGCCAGATTGGGGTCAGATATATTCATCTACTCATTTTTAATGAGCTCCCTCACAGAAACAAGTCAAAATGAGCCAAATATCACAACCTGCAAAACTAGAGTTGAACAAGAAGAGCCATAGAAATGTTTCAAGAGTTTGCCTAAATTCCAGTTGCATTTTTAGACAAATGATTTTGGGATAAATAGGTCCAGTCCAGCACTTTTTGTAATGCTTGTAAATCAAACATGCAGGAAAACTAAATGGATTTAAAGCCAAAACTGCCAGGAATGGGATGCCACCTGAGTTGTAATGAAGAAAACCTTTACACATTTCAGAAAACCTGGAACCCCTTGTGGCTTTTTCATAACTGTGTTTGTAACACAGTTAAAATACACTTATTTCTATTTTTCTGTGTCAAGGTGATCCCATTGGGGAGCTTTCTCTTCCTAAATGGAATCAAATTTCTGTGGAAGATGTTGTTGAGGGGAGATTTCCCAGACATCCCAGAAATCCCAGTTCCTGAGGATTTGTGGAGGTTGGGATTTCTGCACAGGGATGTTGTTTATCCCTCTTCCCTGTAGCAGGTGCAGAAATTTCCTCCTGGTACTTGGCTGAGCTTTTTTCCCTGTCAGAGTCTGATCTCCTCCTGGACATGCAGATCTGGGAGATGGGAACAATTATAATCTCAGGAACGCTAATATGAATCTGGCCCAAAATGCAAATTATTCCAAATTATTCTCACCTTAACTCTTTTCTAAAATAGTTCTGTTTCATCTCCTTTCCACACAGTTCTCTATGTGTCCAGGTCTCTGAATTTTCTATTGAATTCTATTGAAAATATGAATTTTCTATTGATTCTATTGATTTCTATTGAAAATCTGAATTCTCTATTGATTCTGTTGATTTCTATTGAAAATCTTCAATAGAAGATTTTCAATATGAGACCAGACACGATTATCAACCTTCTTTCTGTGCCAGAACAGAGTTTACCCTTACAAATTCATAGTTTTACGCACCTGTTTTATTTCAGGCCATTCCACTTCCAGGATAACTTGTAATTTTCCCAAATAAATGAAGCACCTCTTTTTTTCCCTCTGAAAAAAAATAATGGGAATGGGACTGAGTCAGTGGGACTGAGTGTAACTGAGATCTATCTTCTGTGTTTAAGGAAGATTTCATTGAGGAAAAAGGAATTTTGCTAAATAAATGTCAAAATGTGCCTCAGGAGTTCATGTCACCACCAGAACAACAGGTTGTGAAGCAACTGAGCATATGACAAGGGCACTGAGTAAATAATTTATTTTTTTTTAAATCAACAAAAAAGATGAAGTAAAGGCAAAATATATTTATTCTGGAAAAATGTAAATGACAAAGACCACGTGAGTCTGGCAAAAGGTGAAGTCCCTGATGGCTTTCACCCAGCATGGGAAAATTAAGCAAAAAAAAGGAATTTTTAAGGCATTTTAGAAGCTTAACAGTGTTTATTTCTTCTTAGGAAAAGGATCGGCAGCTCTACGTACAGAACATTTATACAAATCGGATGCCAAAAGCCCTGAGGGACAGAAGTGATTGGGTTCCTGATGACCCAAGTATGTCTGTAATCATCTCCTTCTCTTGTTTAGTTAAGTGACACTTTCACTGTTTTAGAATGGGAGGTTTATTCCAAATTAAATGCCAAAGTAGAGCTTTTGTGTGGGCTGAAAAGGTGAAAAGGTTCAGGAAGCTTAAAGGCTTGAATGATAGAAAAGAACAATATAAATTAAGTTCTACCAAGAAAGAAAGAGCTCCTGAGTGAAGAATATTTCTTTTACATTGATGCTCATAGATATTGGGGAGAAATATCTGTTCCATGCAGTCTTGGCTGTCCAGCATTCCAAGGACAGCTGCCTGGAGTGGGATTCAGCTGATTAAACCCAACCAGAGCTGTCTGAGATGCCCCAGTTTGCCTCCACGACACCCAGAATTTGGGATGGGATGATCTAAACATGGACTTCTCTCATGGCTGAGGCACCTCCTGAAAACACTGATCAGGTATTGCTGCTCCTAAAGGGAAGCAGAAATCAGGATTTTGTTCATGTGGGTACCAAAGAGCCCTTGGCAAACCTGTCTGCTGGAAATGCTCCCCCCAGAATTCCTCAAATCATGGCAGAAATACAAAATCTTACCACACTCAGTTGCTTATTTCTTTCCTCTTCATTGCCTTTGCAAACCATTAACTCTGCCTAAACCACCAGTGAACTACAGGGAAAAGATTGGTACTTCAAGGTGTAAAATTAAGAAAAACACAAATCCCTGGTTGTCATCCCAAGTCAGACACATTTTTTATAAAACTCTGAATTCCTGTTTTAGTTACACCACATAAATACCTTTTTTTTTTTTAAATTTTACTCACATATGGCCTTGTATTCAATAGAAATTGAATATTGCTATTCAATTATGGTACTTAAACCACTGTTATAATTTAAAATCTTCTTTTCTTTAAGCAAGATAAGGGAGCTTAGTTGGAGAGAGAAATGATGTTTTGTAATGAAAAACTTCCAAGCAAAGTTGCACGATCCTCTGGAATTTTAAGAAAAATACCTTAAAATTTTAAGAAAAATTTCATTCTCTGCCAGTTAATGGATTTGGAAACCCAGAGCTGGAATTGCTGAAAATTTATTTTTGTGGTCACTACTCACTTGAATTTTCCTTTAGCAGATTTCTGAAGAGTTGCCTCTTCAGGTCATTCTTTTCTAGTTGACATTCACAAAAGTTTTTTTAGCCAGCAGTAAATTTAGAGCTGAGTTTTTTAGCGGTGCTGATAAATGGCTGGAGGGAGGATTCCTCAGGCGGCCGGAGAGCTCTGTGCAGGTAACGGGAATGGATTTTTTGGATGGATTGCGCAGCTCCGGCCGCTCACCTGGGGGGGCAGCGCCCCCTGGTCCCGGTGCCGGGGAACGCCCGGCTGGAAAAGCTCCCGGAGCTCCCGGAACCCAAATTAATTCCTCCCGCATCGCCGGAGTCACTCCAGGCTGGTCACCAGCAGCCCCTTCACCGCCCTGCTGCCAGCACCCCGAGGGCTCCATCTTTGTGCGTTTTTATGCGTTTTATCCTTTCATTTCTGAGCTCAAAACTTGGAATAAGATCCCATTTTTGCTGCTCTGGTAGCAGCAACTTTCTCAGCTGCTTGTGTCAAAATTATTCTAATAATAAAGGAAGAATATACTCATCTTGTCCGTCTTATATCCATATTTCTCTGGACATCTCGTTCAGTCGCTCCCTTGGAATTGAGAGGAATAGCAGATTTGTCTTTCCAAACAAGCTGTGGGACTGCTGGTGGATAAAACCAGCGCTGGGAGATAAAAGAAACAATGGGAAGGATTCCACTGATTGATGAATGGGAAAAGATATTTGCTTTTGCAAATAAACTTTACGTTTGCTGATAAACGAAATTAGACGTTGAGAGATGAAACAATGAGGAGGAAAAACCCCTGAATTGCATAAGAATTAAAAATTACAAATGAGGGTTATACATTAGAGGGAAATCTCTGGTATCAGGTGTTTTGGGAAATTGGTACCTCTCAAGTCCTTCAGAAATGGGGAAAGAGAGAAGGGAAAAGCAGCCAGGAAATTGGGATAAAAAGGAGTCTGCATCCTCCAAAAATTTGAGAGATCCCAGGGGAATGCCCCATGGCCTCTCCCTTTATTCCAATAAAGTAAAAGGACTCCTCTGTCTCCTTTTTGGACATAAACCTCTGGTGTTTATGAATCAGAATCTCTTCTAAAGACCACTGACATTTCAAACAGTGTGGAGCATTCCCCCTGAGCTGGGTTCCATAAAGATCCAAATTTAGGAAACTGAACTCAGGTTTCATAGCAGACCTCTCTAATTTACACTAGAATGGAACCAAGAATTAAGCCCATGTGGGCTTTGGGGCACAGACACACTTGTCTGACTTTACATGTTCTATCTGAAAATATACTTAGTAATATATTTTTATTTATATATTTATGTATATACTTATGTTTAGGATGCACTGATGTACAAGGCTCATAAATCCAGGTTTGTCTCCAGTTTCAGCATTTAAAGAATCAGTAGAACAAATTATTTATTTTTTGAAGGGCATTAGGATATGCATTAAAAAAAAAGTTAAAATTCTTGGTCACATAGCAGTATTGTCAGTTGTCAGAGATATATTTTGTTTATATCACCAACCTAATTCCAGAGATAACTGTATTGCTAATGTTTGTCCTATTCAACAGGTCTGAGAGTAAACAGATCAGTACAAGTAGATAAAGAGAGTTTTAGAGAACTGCTGCTGTCTCAGCACCAGGAAACAGAACAAAATCCAATCCAGCAAAAAAAGGTGGGAAAGATCTGGATCCAAATCCAATCCCTGTTTAAACTCTCAGCTAAGGTGTATTTTATTCCCTAAGTTGCAGTAATGTGCCTGGATAACCTGATCCTTCATCTAGGATGGGGATTTTGCATGAGTGTGATTACAGGACAGAAATAATGCTGTGATGCAAAATATAATATAACAGCAATAGAAATTACTGATCTTTTTTTAAGTATTGCACTGATTGAGTCCTTTTAAAAGTCACTAGACAAGCATTCCCTCATTATTTTTACCTTTAATTGCCAATTTTAGGAGAACAAAGATGAAGGTGGAGAAGGTAAAGCAAAGGAAGTGTGCTCACATGCCCGAGGTAAAAAGGAAAAGCAAGCAACCAAGAAAGTGCCAGAAACTTCAAACAGGACACACAGAGGTAGGTTTAATGTTTCTCTCAGAAATTCACCTGATCTTTGCAAATTACCCGAAGTTCTGGTGATTTATGTGGTTCTGACAGCCCTTCACTGGCAGCTGGCTGACAGGAGCCAACTCCAAATGATGAATGAGGTGTCACTGAAAACACAGAATTGTCTGGGTTGGAAAATGCAGCTGCTGCTGGTGCTGCACTGCAGGATGGGGCATCTCCACCCTGCTCTTCTCCCAAAGCTCAGGCTGGTAAAAACTCAGTGTTCTGTCTGTAACAGGATAATTAACAGTGTTAATCCACACTAATCAAACCCTGATCTCAAAGTTGGGAATCTTCATCACTGCTGTGAGCCTATTTCCATGGAAAAGGAAAAGGAGTGTGAGGGCTGGGAGCAGTTCCTCATTAGTGATCCCTGGAAAGAGATTTTACGGAAATCGCAGCCACTGTGTCCTCATGGAAAAGTTACATGCAAGGGACTCATCTGTAAACATCTTTATTCTGAAGAAATTCTGTAGAACAGAGGAGAGAAAAAGCCACTGCTGTTCCCTCATTCACGTTTTTCTTTCTAGAAACATTCCTGTTATTTCCTTTAAGGCTTTTAGGAAAAGAAAAGGTCTGAGTGCCACCATTCTAAACATGTCCCAAGTGACAGGAGACCTCCAGGTCCCACATTTGCCCAGGGGGAACAGGTGATGCCAGGTCCCATCCCTGTCACCTGGCATGTGTGACCTCCTGAGGTTTGTGCTCTGCCTTTGCAGCCTGCAGCCTTTCCAGACAGACAAAATCAGCACTTGGCTTTAAAATGCCCTTTTAAAACTGACAGAAAACACAGGTCTTACAATGCTTCCTCTGAATAATCTGTGAAATCTGAGTTTCTCTCACTGATAGCAGACTTTTATTGAAGCCTTATTTGGCTTCTTTAGTTCCTGCAACTTCTTATTTCCCATTTAAGCTGGGATTATGTCTCAGTTTGGGGGTACTCTGTGAGTCTCTGCAGAGCTTTGCACCCATTAGAAGTTGTCCCCTGCACTGATAAATGGCATTTCTGCACACATGTTCCTTTTCCTGCTGAAAAGTGGAGCCCCCTCATTTCCAGGTGAGAGTTGCTGAATATTCTGCTCCACACAAGCACCTCTATTGTGAATTAAGGGAAAGGAAATCCTGCATATCTCTAAGTTCCACTTAAAAGCCAGAATGTGACAATTAAGAGTTCAGATCTCGCCTGGTTTCTCTGTTGCATTGTACATGACTTTTCTGTATTTAGCCATTGCTGTACATAATGGCAGCTAAATCCTTTTAACTAAATTCAACACTATGAAAAAAGTAAAAATAAGGATATGAACCTGGATTCAGTGGCAGAATGATGTTATTTTATTATAGAGGTATTTGAACTACCATCAATAATAACTGAAGCAGTGAAATAAGGATGTGATACTTGCTCTTTTTAAAGCTTCATAACTCCTCATGTTCTTAAACCCTGCAATATTTTAGGGGGCAAACTGCTGCTGGAAGAATGCAAATTTTCAGAATTTATTAAAGAAATGGAAAAAGAGACAGAGGTTCTTAAACAGGAGTTGAAAACTCTGATGAAATCTGAACAAAGTCCTCAAAGAGTGAAAAAGAACAATCAAGAGGGAGAGGCAGTGGAAGAAGTTGAAAAAGAAGAGAAAAAACCCCATGAGCACCAAAAGAAGAAAGCCAGGAGTGAAGGTCCAAGTCCAAGCAAAGACCCCACCAGGCTGAAAAAAAAATACATTTTCTCAGGGGCTGTTGAGAATTTCCAGCAGAGGCTCCACACTTCAGGTGCCAAAAGCAAATCAGGATTTGGGAAAAGCTGCCTGAGCAGCCAGAGACAGGCAGGGCAGGGCTGCAGCGATGCCACCGCTGTGCCCAGGGGGAAAACGTCCTTTGGGGCTTATGAACCTTCCTTTGGGCAAACCCCCCTGGGCTGGCAGCACAGCTCCTCTGCAGGGGAGGAAGCACCCGATGGAGGAGCTCTCTGGGGAGGGATGTGTGCCAGGAGAAAACTCCTGGAGCTCCAGCAGCACAAGGGTGAAGGCAGAGCAGTGAGGGGGGCAAGGCAAACCCCAAACTCCCTGCCAGGCTCCAGCTCCCCTCGTTAAAAACAGCTCCTGAGTTACTCCACACTTATTGCTGATAGTTCAGTACATCAGCTTGCCTTTAGAGAATTTAAATATTCCCATTGTTACAAACCAAGTGTTTTACTTTCATTCAATGTTTATTAAACCTTACAAGCACTGGCAATTGCTCTCCATGATTTTTTCTAAAACAATCCAATCAGCTGTCACAAAACCCACGTTGTGTGCTTGATCTTTTCCCACATATATACATTAAGAATTCCTTATCATCTTTACCTGTTACCAGGTAAAATTCAGTCCTTGTTCAGGAACTTCCAGGTTTTTGCATTCCCAAGGAGCTGGGATTTGGGAGCTGGGTGTTTTTTAGTTGCTGACATGAACACCCAGATTTCATAAGGTTCACTGCTGGGTGAGCACCAACAATGCCATAAAAGAAAACTTTAGTTCCTTCACTCCCCAAACAGCTTCCAGAATTCACAGATAATAAAAATAATTTGCTCCTACATTGTTTTCACGAGCATTAGGAACCTCTAAAGCCTCATTCTTTCCCTCTGTTGGAACTTATCAAAGCAGTTTGCCTGGTAACTTCCCCAGCTGACATGCAGAGATGAATGTGCAAGAGGAAAGCATTGTTTTGGACAAGTCAGGCATAGCCAGTCCCCAAAAAGCCTCTAAAAATCCTTGTTTAAGGTTATGTAAGCCAGGGGAGGAGGATTGTGGTTTGTTCCTCACACTAATTTATTTAATACTTGCTAAATTCATGAGAAGTGTGAAAAAATTGGGGCATTCTGTTAATTTTTAAAGGCAGTTGCACTTTAAAAAATGTCCAAAATTATACTACAGAAGTTCTTAAAGATGACAAAGACATTCAGAGCTGAACCTGTTGCAGCAACTTTTCAAATAATTAAAAAAATTATTTAGTTGAGTTGCTTCAAACAATATTTCCTTATGCACAAACACAGGGGCTGTTGTTTTGGCTTGGATTTTGGTGAGATTGGGATTTGTTTTGTCATTTTGGGTTTGTTTATTTGGGGTTTTTGTGGGTTGTTCAGGAAAACTGCAGTTAACATTAAAAAAGAGATGAAAAAACCTAAGATGGGTTGAAAAGCTTTATTTCCTTAATAAAACCACAATTTTACATAACATTCAATCACACTTTTTCTTGATATTTATTTTCAAGTAGGCTAAATGCAATTCCTGATATAAAATCCAAATTTTTAAATTAATATTAAAACAAATAAACAAAAATATTTAATCCATATATATATACACACAACACAACCTGACCTTTTGAACTGGTTTTTGAAGGCAGTGCCAATTTTGGAGGGGTCCTGGCCCCTTCCTTCCCTTCCTGCAGGGAGGAGAAGGCCCTGGAAGAGCAGAGGGATCATTCCTGTGGGAATTCCAGAGTGGGAGGCTCAATCAGCATCCCCTGCAGGAACAGCACTGTCTTCTGCTTCACTGACACCAACCTGTGCTTGGCAGCTGAAAAAACCTCTTAAGAGATAAAAATCTTGATTTACTCATCTAGTTTTAGGAGAGTTCAAGAAGATTCTGATTTTAGGGTAAAAAATGACAAGGAAATTGTTTTGCCCCAAGCCAAGCAAACAACCTCCCTCTGCCCTCTGCACCACCCAACATGATCCCACCTCAGGGTGAAGCTTCCATATTTTATAGAAAGAAACAGCCAATCCATATTTTATAGAAAGAAACAGCCAAGCTCCCAAATGAATCCCTAAAGCCAGCACATTTCCAATTTAAAACCACAAATCCAACACTGTGACAACAGGCCATGACAAAACCTTATGGTTCTGCCATGACTAAACCCAAAATGAGGATTTACAACCAGCAGTGCTGTTCTTTCCAAAATGAAAGACAAACTCTGGGAAGCGAAACCAAAAGAATCCAAAGGACGGACAGATATCCAAATGGAGTAACAAGGATTGTCTCAGCCCTTGTCTCATCAAAGATAACTGTCCCTTTTCTTTTTTTAAATTAATTTCAAACAGTGATTATGTAAATGCAGCTGGGGAGTCCATGGCTGGCTGGGGTTCCTTCAGCTGAAGGGGTGCAGCATGATGGCCACAACTTTATTGCAGACCACGAGCCAGCAGGTGATTCCCACTCCTCCTGGAAAAGAGGGAGAAAACACAATTGAAATTGTTGGATCAATCACTCTGAGGAACTTGTGCAGCTGCAAACAAGCTTGGAGGTGTAAAAAATTAAACTAAGAATTCATGAGGCCAACAGGAACTAAACTCTTTATATACAAAAGAGAAATACAAGAGATGGGAGATAAATCAATGCTGGTCCCAAAAAATTCTGGATTGTCTTGGGAAAAGAGCAGCAAATACACAAATAAAGTGTGGTGAGTGCACCCCAGAGCTAAAACCATCTGCTACAGACCCAAGAGAAAATATCTCAGTTTAAGGCCTGGCAAAACTTAAATTCAGGATTTGAGAGATGTAAAAAGTAAATTTCCTCTGAAATTGAAATCAGTTGTTTTGTAAGTACATAGTTATTCATAGCACACCTGTGAAGAAAACTCCCTTTTGGGCGATTTTCTGATTTCCTAATTTAACTCTTCCCCAGGATCTATTCAATACAGAGAAGAGCAATGCTCTGCTTGGGTGGAAACAAAAATGACAAAATTCATGAGCACTTCAAGAAACCAAAACCACACATGGAAGAGCTGCTGAAATCCCTGAGCCCTGTGCTCTGGGAGCCAGGGAAGCAGCTGCTGTGAATCCCTGCAAGCCCTGGGGCTGGGCCATGTCCTGCTCCTCACCTGCCACTCCCGTGGGGAAGGCCACCAGGCGCTCCAGGGGAGCCAGCCACTTGCTCGGGAGCACGGTGACAGGCTCAGAGTAGTACTTCCAGATCAGAGAGATCATCAGGGCAGCCTGGAATGGGCATTTTTTATTAGTTTGGATGATAACACACACCAAAGTACATTCCCAGTGCTATCTGGAATTGTTTCTTTGTTATCTTCTTCAAAATATTTTTAGATTTTATATGACTTTAAATTTATACACAATATTAGGAGGTTGCAAGGGGATCTTTCTTTCAAGACCCTCTCTCCAATCCACACAGTCATAGCATTTGTTAAAATTCTGATGACCCTTTTTAGGCTGAATTTTTGCCTACAAGGAGTTCAACTCACTTGAACAGTCCCCTAAGGAAATCTTCATGCTGACCACTGCCATTCTCCTTAGCAAGTTCTCTGGCACCAGTCAGAACTACTCAGACAATCTGATGAGGCACTGTGGGGAAATGGGTGGCAGCTGTAGGTGGAGATTTGCATCCTCAGCAGAAGTGTGTTTTGGTTTCATAGCCAGAATTATATTCACATGTAGCAGAACTTTCCTGGATTTGGGGCCAATATAAAAAATCCCCAGTGATTAAAGAGCTAAGGCAAACTCCAATCTTGTCCCCTCAAAACCAGAAACACAGAGTTGAGATGAAAGTTAAACTCCTTCCATCCTCAACTACCAGACCTTATCATCATTTCCCTTCCAGTTGCAGAAATTCTTTGTGTCTGCCAAGCTCTGTGTCCTTGGAATCCCAGAATGGTTTGGGCTGGAAGGAATTTAAAGATCCTCCAGTGCCATGGCAGGGACACCTCCCACTGTCCCAGGCTGCTCCAGCCCCAGTGTCCAGCCTGGCCTTGGGCACTGCCAGGGATCCAGGGATGGAATTCCATCCCAGCCCTGCCCACCCTGCCAGGGAACAATTCCTCATTGCCAAGATCCCACCCAGCCCTGCCCTCTGGCACTGGGAGCCATTCCCTGTGTGCTGTCCCTGCATCCCCTGGCCATTGTCTCTCTCCAGCCTTCCTGGGGCTCCTCCAGGCCCTGCAAGGCCACCCTGAGCTCAGCCCAAAGCTTCTCCTGTGCAGGTGAGCAATGCCAGCTGTGCCAGCCTTTCCTGCCAGCAGAGCTGCTCCATCCCTCTGCCCATCCTGGAGCCTCCTCTGGGCTCTCTGCAGCAGCTCCAGCTGCTCCCTGCACTGGGGGAGCCCTGAGTGACAGGTATGGACCAATAAACCAGGAGAGAATTGTGACACTACTGAGGATTTGGGTGAAGTTGTATCCATAACAAAATATTGACTTACCTGCACTATGTAGAATACAATATTTATGACCCACTTTATTTTGGCTAATTGGGCAGTTCGTGCTTTCACTGTCAAAGAAAAAGAAAATATTAGTTTCCATTACTTACAGTAATGAATTATAATTACATTAGATTAGTAATTTTTTAATATTTCACTCTTTAAGGCTGGACATTACCCTGTTAAAAATCTCTTTCCATATGACTTACAGCTATATTAAAAACACTCTTCTACAAAAAACTGCCAGCTCTGTATCACACTGTAATTGCTATCTTGACTTACTCAATACAGGATTCAGTGATGGGCAACACTGAGAAATAATAAATAATTACACAGTGAAGCCCAGGAAATTCCTGGAAAGACACAGGGAAGATTTTCAAATAGTTTAAAGAGGGGGAAAAAGGAGAGAGAGAAAGAAAGAGAGAAGGGAAGGAAGGAGGAGAGGAAAGGGATGGGACAGAAAGGAAATGGAAATGTAAAGGAAAGGAAAGGAAATGTAAAGGAAAGGAAATTTCAAGGAAATGGAATGGAATGGAAAAGGGAAAGGGAAAGGAAAAGGAAAAGGAAAAGGAAAAGGAAAAGGAAAAGGAAAAGGAAAAGGAAAAGGAAAAGGAAAAGGAAAAGTGAAGGCTAATTTGAAGGACAAATACTTAAAGCTGAAAATGCTCTTATCAGCATTTCAGAAACAGAAGATGTTTTTCCTTGTGGAGCAGGAGCAGACACAGCACTGTACCGTGGGTTTTGAGCTTGTCAGTCATTTTGTTGATCTTCCTCTCCAGCCGCGCATATCTGGCGAACTCGTCCATCATGCTGATGGTGGCAAGCTCCTGCTTCATGGTCTGGATCTCTGCTCTCATCTGGGACTCCTGCTCTGCATCCTTCTGCAACAGCCTGGATATCTGAGAAGTGAAGGAAATGATCAATTCCTGCTCCAGAATTCCACTGATTTGCTTCAGTGTGCATAAAGTATGATCTCAAAACATCCCACAACAAAGGGCCTTTCACTGAGATGCAGGAAATCCTTGGGTGACAAGAGAACAAGTGACAAGATGAAACAGCCTCAAGCTGGACTCCATCATCTTGAAGGTTTTTTCCAATTTAAATGATTCTGTGATCATTCCCATTTCCAGCTCCAGCAGCCAAGTATTCCAACATTTCCTCCCTTCCTTTTACTCTCCTAATTTCTTTTCTTGAGGCACCACCTCAAGAACTCTGCCAGGCACAAAAGGACACAAAATCTTTTTATTGCTGTTCCTTAGCAAATCTTCCAGCCTCCCCAAGACACATGTAATTTATTTCCCCAGGGATGCTGTTCTCAGGCCTGCACACAGTGAGAGCATTAACATCATCTTCAGCCTCAAACCACAGCAGAAGGCTGAGCAGAGATCTTCAGAGAATCTCAGAATATCCTGAGTTGGAAAGGACTCACAAGGAATTGAGTCCCAGCCCTGTCCCTGCCCAAACCCCCAAAATCCCACCCTGGGCATCCCTGGCCAAAGGCTGCTGGAGCTTGGCAGCCTCGGGGCTGTGCCCATTCCCTGGGCAGTGCCAGCACCCTCTGGGGGAGAACCTTCCCCTAAATCCAACCTAAATCCCTCCTGGCCCAGCTGCAGCTGCTCCCTGGGTGCTGTCCCCGTGCCAGAGCTCAGAGCTGTCCCTTGGGAGGAGCTGCAGATCCCAATCTCAGCCTCCTCCAGCCTGAAGGAACCAAATGCCCTCAACCTCTCCTCAAATGGCTCTTTCATCACTCATCTCTAGCAACACTGAGTTCAGCTTCCCAAACTGCTGAGGGTGATGTAAGGTTTAAAGGATTTTTGTCCATTTTTAACAGTGCACACTGATCTCTGTGCCAGTGAAGTTATTTCTATGGTAGAGCAGAGCGACAGGGATTTCAGCATCTTCGTGCACGTGTGTTTATCTGGCAGCCACAGAGTTTATTTGTCTTGAATTCCATTATCCACATTTCCACAGCAATGCTTCAGATCAGAACAGGGGTGCCCTGATCAGATTACTGAGATTTATTCCTACAGTGATTTAACTCCTCAATCTCCGTATCCACTGATCTCCTATCTCAACAATGGGCACGTCCATCTGTTGAAAACACGCAAGACCGAGCAAAGTGATCCTTCCTACCCCGAAAAATGGGAAGATGTGGCTGCTCCATCCCTGGAGGAGTTCAGGAGCAGCCTGGACGAGGCTGAGCATCCAGGCCCGCTGCAAGGATCCCTGCCCACGGCAGGGGGGTGGGAGTGGATCATCCTCAGGGTTCCTTCCAGCCCAAACCATTCCATGATTCCGTGATGCATCCCAGGGACTGGAGGCTCAGGAGCATCCATGATAACACAGGTAACTCATCCCGCAGAAAGTGGGGCTGAGCTCCACCATTTCCAGCCCCAGCCTCTCCTCAGCAAGGCCGGCAGCAGGAGCAGACCCTGCCCGTCCCCGCCGGGGCCGCGGGAGCGCTCCCGCTCCGGCACCGCTCCCCACGTACTGAGAGAACCCCCGCAACGCCCCGCCAGTTCCCTGGGGTCCCCTCCCAACCATCCTCCCGCTTCCCCACGGGCGCCATCACTCACGAGGGAGGAGCAGGAGGGCAGCAGGATTTTGAGCGCGTTGCAGAGGAACACGGCGCTGAGCACCAGCAGCCAGGCGCCGCTCTCCGCCATGGGCCCCGCGCCGCCGCCGCCGCCTCCTCACAGCGCCCGCCCGAGGGCAGGCGGGGCCGCGCGCGGGGGGCACGTGACGCAGGCGGGCCAATGGGGAGGCGGTGCGCTCGGGCGGGGCGGGGCGCGCGCCGATCCGGCTGGATCCTGTTGCGGCGCCGCTGGCGCTGCTGGGATGGGGAGGGGGGCGGCGGCTCCGCTGCGCAGCCGGGCTGGGGCGCGCAGGCGGCCGCAGCAGCAGCGCTCGCTCGCAGCAGCAGCCGCGCCACACCAGCAGGAACAGCCGCAGCCGCGGGGGTCGCGGCCGGGAGCGTCGAGATGCCCAAGAGGAAGGTGAAGGCGGGCGGCAGCGAGCGGAGCCGCGGGGAGGGGACGGCCGGGAGTGTGTGGGGAGCGGGCTCGGCGGGAAGCGGCCGCGCCGCGGGCTCCGGTGCAGCGGGTGGTACTGAGGGCCGGCGCCTTCCCCTTGTGCCGGGAAGGGGGCAGGGGCTGTGGGAGGGAGGCTCAGGGGGGCTCGGTGAGGCTCGCGGTCCGGGAAGGGGCGGGCGGGGGCCGGGGCCGCCCCGCTCGCTGACGCGCTGTGTGTGTTGCAGGTGACGGTGGCGGACGGGGACGCCCCCGAGGAGGTAAGGAGCGGGCAGGGCGGCGGGGCAGGCGGGGCTGCTCAGGGCTGCCCGCCCCTCACGCCCTTCTCTCTCTCTCTCTGTCCCTGTGTGTGTCCGTGTCTCCCCGCAGCCCAAGCGGCGATCGGCGCGGCTCTCCGCGGTAAGTGCCGAGCGGCGGGGCCCTGCCGGGATGGGCGGGAGGCCGTGCCCAGACTGGATCCCCGCCTGACTTGTTCTCTCTCCTCAGAAACCCGCGCCTGCCAAAGCGGAGCCGAAACCTAAAAAGTTACCGGCGAAGGTGAGAGTGAATTGGAAAAGGGAAGGGAGAGGAGGTGCTGGTGCTTGGGGGCACCGTGCTGGAATGGTTTTGTTCCTTGTGGGAACTTGGCTGAAGCGTTGTTTTGATGTGCTTCTGCCAGTATTTACAGGTACATTCCATCGCCGTGGCTGTAGAGCCTTGTTAAGCTCCAGGCATTGCACGGAAGCGTGGGCACGGATCCATGCGTGTTATATTGGGTGGAACTACCTGACTGTCAAAGCAGCTGCGTTAGGACATCAGGAGGGATTTCTTCACAGAAAGGCTGGGCAGGCGTTGGAAAAGCTGCCCAGGGAGGGGGTGAAGTCACCATCTGTGGAGGTGTCCAAGGATAGGCTGGGATGTTTGCTCTGCTCTGGTTGACAGGGTGGTGCTCAGTTAAAGTTGGACTGGAGTATCTTGGAGGACTTTTCCAAACTGAATGATTCTGTGCATAGCGTTGTATTTCATCGGTGTAACAAGAGGGGATAAAACACACCTACTGATGTTTTAGAGCAGTGTGTTAGGACAGGGAAAAATTGTATTGGCCACTTAAAAACTACATGAGCTTCCATTCATGTGGTCAAACTTCCAGGTGTTTGTGTGTAAGAAAGTGGTTTTGTGTGATCTTTGAATTTTTCAGCACAGCTTTCGCAGTGGAAATAAGTGAGGTGTAAAAGTCTTTGGTTTTGGGGAGAGTTAAAAAAGGCCTTGTGTCTGTTGGCTCGCTGCTGTTTGCGTTGTTAAGTGTTCCTTTGTCATCTTAAGCTTTTCTTAGTGATGTGTTAAAAGCTTTGGGGTGACCTCATCGAGACCTTTCAGTACCTGGAGGGAGTTGATAAGAAAGATGAAGGGAGATCATTTCCTAGGGATGGAGTGACAGGGAAAGGCTTCTAACTGCCAGAGGGCAGGGCTGGATGGGACATTGGGAATGAGGAATCGTTCCCTGGCAGGGTGGGCAGGGCTGGGATGGAATTCCACCCCTGGATCCCTGGCAGTGCCCAAGGCCAGGTTGGACACTGGGATTGGAGCAGCCTGGGACAGTGGGAGGTGTTGGGGGTTGGATGAGATGATCTTTAAGATCCTTCTCAGCCCAAACTGTTCTTTAATTGATTGATATCTAATTGATATCTGAAATCGATTCTCTAATTTCAGATAAACTCATGATCTTTTAGACTTTCTGATGTTTTCATTGCATTAATCCTCTTGAGCAGTTACTGACCAGGAGCCCACCTTCATTCCAGTGGTCTGACTATCAGTGTGTTCCCACTCTCCAAGCTGGAAGCCCAAAGAATTTGGGGAAGCTTTCCAGTGCTACCAAGATGTAATTTCCTTTTTTTTTGCAGTGTCTGTGATGCATCTGCACTTACTGCTGCTCATTGATGTTGGATTTTCTGCTTAAAACTACTTCAAGCTATTAATTAACAGTCAAAGATTTTTTATTTATCAAAAAACCCTTTTTTTGTATCAACTTCATCAGTTCTTAAAACCTTCCTCAGTTTTTAAAGCAATCCTCAGTATTTTTTCTAGTTATGAGAAGTTTGCTCATTATGGAGTTAGTATGGGCTGTTAAAATAAATAATAATGGAGAAAAAAACTTTGGCATTCAAAGTATAGAAGTCAGTGTGTTGCAATTATGTAATTCTGAAATATTTTATAATGAGTGATCAGGGGTTGTTGGTAGCTTAGGAAATCTGTCTTTTTTGGTGTGTTTTTTATTGTTTTCAAAGTTTACCTGGAAGGTTGTAACAATTGACTTACTGGCAATGTATTTCATTGTAGGATAAATCTGAGGACAAGAAAGCTCCATCAAAGGGGAAGAAGGGGCCTAAAGGAAAACAGACAGAAGAGACAAACCAAGAGCAGCAGACAAAGGACAACCTGCCTGCAGAAAATGGGGAAGCTAAAACTGAGGAGGTGAAGTTTGGAGGGCTGGGTTTGGGTTTTGCTGTTATTGAGAAGTTGTTTTTTTTTATTTTTTTGCTACAAAAGTTTGTTGACAAATGAAATATTCTTTTACTTGGAAAGAGTCTTGAGTAAAAACCCAGAGGTGATCTGGGCAAAGTTGAGGTGACATTGACAGACCCTGCTGGGAGAAGGGACAGGTTGGTGCAGGGACAAAGTACAACCATTAATGGGTTGTTGCTGTGCCAGGTGAGTCTTGGCTGCACCACAGTGCCAGAGTGGCTGAACTTTTTGGAGACATGGATCACTTAGAGCATCCTCCACTCAGTACTACACTCCTGGAATGCAGACATAAATCAGTTACAAATTCAGCCCAAGATCAGCAGGGATGAAATACAAGTGTGGTAATGAGCCTGGAGTTGGTGTCAGGTTTCTGTGACAAACATTTTCAGGATTTTCTGTGACAACATTTTCAGTGGAGTATTTTGGTTTGTTTGGGAAGGTACAGGATGGTACTTCAGTGAGCTCTGGGGTAACAGTTTGTCATTTGCAAGCCTGCAGTGTGAAAAAGTTGTGCTCTAACTGCAAGTTCTTCAGCTGACTCATTTTTGGCATTATTGCAGCCTCTTAATTTGTGCTTGTAAAGTGGCAGCAGTGGAACCAAATTTGGCAGCATTCCCACCTGGGGTCCCTTTAGTTCACTGGTGCAGAGATTATGTAAATGTACAAGGAACGGATGATGGTTGCTCACAGCACCCAAAATTCCAGGTGTAATTTTATACCAAAGAGGCAGAGTCTGTCCTGTTGGATGTTACTGTTTGCTAAGAATTCAAACAGGGTTAAGATTTGAAGAACATTTGAAGTGTGGCACTGAAATTTAAAGGCATGAAGTGTTACCTCATGGATTTTCTAAACGCCTCATGTGTAATTGTAGCTGTGTAAAAGCTGAAGTTTTTTCTGTCATAAAGGCAGTAATACAATTAAAATTAAAATGCTTTGCAGTGTGTGTTTAGTAACAAATCAACATCCTGCAATCCATCCTGGTGGATCCAAGAGCCTTTTTGTGACAGCTTGGTTTAGCAGATCCAAAAGAAATCTGCAGGAGCAAGTCAGGGTTATTCTGTGCAGGGTTTGAGGTGCATTAAAACTCCAAACTAATCAGAGCCACTAAAAACTTCCTGCACTGAATTATTCTGGTTTTTTTTCCCTTTTCCAGACCCCAGCACCTGATGCAGCTGCAGAGAAAGAAGTGAAGTCTGAGTGACACCTGCTCCCACATCTGTAACTGGTGGTCCTTAAACCTTTCTTCTTGTACAATTCAGAGGAATATTTTTATCAACTATTTTGTAAATGCAAGTTTTTTAGTAGTTCTAGAAAACACGTTTTTAAAAAGGAGAGAATCCCGACTCAACCCATTTTTTTACATATTTAGATAAGTGTAAATGCTTTTTTTAAGTGGTAAAATCATGTACTGGTTGTCTGTTTTCTATGAAACCAGAAATTAACAGTGTGTTAATTAAGGAGAGGGCATTGAGGCCTTGATTATGCCTCACCTTCCACAGCCTCCAAGGGACAGTTTTCTATCCTATAAAATGAAGCATAACACAGATCAGACTTTGGAATTCATAATGATGTGTTGAGAATGTCTTAACATTTTAGTTCTTTATCCTTCTCTGTGGTTGTACCATCAGTAGAATTGCTTATCTAATAAAACTGCTCCCTAGTGGTGGATTCCCTGCTGAGTGATGTATGTCAGTGACAAAGTTATTTTTGGTAGTTGCAGCTTTATTTTTTTCCAACAACTTTGTAGCTGTGATGCAAAAAGATTGGAAACTTTTATTTTATATCTTTAAATACTGTCTTAAGTAAAAGTTTCTGCTTGGCAGATGGAAGCTGTTATGTCAATATTTGAGATACTGGAACTTCACATCTAGTTTTCAAGGACAGCTTGTCTACAAAGATTGAGTGAAAAAATATTTGAAATAGTGCTAGAAAAAAAAAAATAATTAGTTTTTAGATGAAAAAAAGCTCTGTGAATAAACACAATTGTAAAATTGTTGAAAGTATTTGTGATCACCAAACAAAAGCCAAATAAATCTTGATTATGAAAGGATGTTTCCATAGCTCCTGTATTGAGTGTGACCTCACAATGTGAGAGCTGTGGTTTGGATTTGTAACTGTGTCCTTCAGAGTGCTAAAATTGTACTTTAAAGAGATGGGTGGCTGTCCCGTTCTCGGCTGTTT